GTTCCATCCTTTCCGTATTGTACGCATAGATCGTACCATTTACTGTACAGACGTATGCTTGCGTAGCGTGAGAGGAGATGGGCGCAAAGACCGGGCTATCGACTTCGTACTCTTGTGTTATTGCGCCGCAATTCTAAAAACAGCGTAGATCAAGCTATTTGGCAAACCTTGTCCAAAAACAGCACTTTTCGATCCAATGTCCCCAGCAGGACAAATTGCTGCAAAACCAACGGCCTTCCCGGGCAAAGTCCAATATTTTCAGCCATCCATAGCATCGTTTTCGCCTAAAAACGATATTTTATGGCGTTTAGTCGCACATACTGTTGAATCGAGTTTAAACAACTTTTTGTTGTAGCTGTACACGTAGATTGAGCCGTCAGTCTGATCGAGCGCGGGCTCGGTTCTGATCTGATCGCCCGTTTCAAAGGTCCAATGGCTTTCCCCGTTCGGGATTCGAAAAAAATGGACGGATCCCGAATGAGATCCTAAAACAAATTGTTATCCTTGATCAATTTTTCACCTGCGACTACAAATTTCCCGCATATGGTGAGGCTAGTCTCGATTCGTTGCCCGAGTGCGTGGCTCCACGCGACTTCTCCGGATGTCTTCAAACATTTCACGACGCCCGCGTGTGATGCGCAGAATATCAGGGTCTCGCCGTTACTGGAATAATTCTATGGTGCTTTCGCAACACCGGGGAGATTTTTGTAATACAGGAACTGTTTCTAAACTGGTTTTTACTAATCCTAAACCTGAAAGCTTGAAAAGTTTCGTTAAAATACAAAAAATATCATTTCGACAAAAATCCAAAATTGCTGCTTCACGACCAAATTTTCCTCAAAACATTTTTTTTTTTTTTTTTTTCACTTAAAATTTTTAAAAAAATTAAAAAACCCCCACCAACCTACTATCTACTACACTCAATTTACAGGGTCCAAAACCCGCCATTATCCCCGTACCTGTCCACAATTTTCGGATCACCATCAATGCATTTCTCGAAATGGTGCTCCCATTCACATCGAGCGTCTAAGTGGACCGCTTCCGCAGGGGCTTCACGACTTGTATTCTGAACAATAGGCCCATTTTTTTAAACTGAGCCAGCCTTACCTTATCTTTAACCATCCCCTGCAACATTTCCAAAAAATCAAAAATAGATTTCGACGGGGCCAATATTGACGCGATCAAATGGGATAAAGAAAGCTGAAACAAAAACAATCAGAATCTAAAAGATCTCCCACCTCAAATGCCAATTTCATCGCTCCTTGCGAGTCAACGCCGTAATGCTGGAATGATCGGGAAAGATCGGAGTCCCTAAAACCAAGTGTTCTTTTCTACCCTTGCGCAAACCTGTGGATTCCAAATCTTGAACAACATTCCCAGAATCTTCCTATCAAGTCGTTTTCGTTGTAATATCGATCGATTATCCGCATCAGTTCCTCTTTGTCAATCTTTCCTAAACAAAAAAGTACGTAGCAAAAGTACAGGTAGCACTTACCATTCGAATTCAACGGAAATGCCTTCAACAAGAAAATTTTCGCCGGTTTCAGAAATGCTGGGAAAATGGCTTCCAAGTCGGTGGTATTTTGCCCTGCGCCATCAACGAACAGAATTAAAAAATTCTAAAAAACGATAGACTGAAAGTTTCGGATTTTTTTTACCTCCTTGTAGGTCAGAATTTGGGCATTCCTGGCAAAGCCGCTGCTAACAATTTTCTCAGCGATCCTCGCCGGATGGAATTTCACGCCGTTAATTTTTAACTAAATTCCAGGAATCTCATACGCGGGAAATTCTACCTGGTCATCCTTTCTTCCCACGACAGTGTAAGCCCCGGATTTCGTTTTCAGAGCCAAATCACCAGTGCGTACAGGTGCGATGGAGCGGACACCTAGGGAAATCAGCTCCTTGCTCTGCTTTCTCACCATCAATATAGCACTTCCGCTCGCCGGTGATTAGCAACTCTCCATCATGGCCCAGCGCAAAACCGGTGCGGAAGATTGGATCGCCAATAGTAATTTCGGTAGTTCTAAAATTGCCATAAACCCACAAGCGCAATCTATGATACCGGCTGTCGATCTCCTGGATGCTGGCCCAGCAGGACACCTCGGTAATGCCGTAAACATTGAAGACCCGAACCCGTTCATTCCGTTGGATATAGGGCTGAAATAGTTGAAGCGGAAACGCCGCGCCGCCAACCTAAAAAAACCTATTTCATTTGGTAATTTGATCGTGATCTACCAACATTATCCGAACGGAAGTGCCTTGCCGAAAAATTTCTTCCAACACTGGCTGCCCCAATAGAGTCAACACGGCCGGGGTCACCTAGAATTAAGTTTATTATTATTAGTTTACAATCACTAACCTGAATCACCGTAGGTTTCTGGCCTCGCAAAAGCCGCAAAAATTCCTCAGTCGAACTTCGTACACTTTCTGAAGCGACAATCAGTCGACACCCGTATTGTAGAGGTAAGAAAATTTCGATGATGGATGGATCGAAGTAGATCGAAGTTGAGAAGAGCACGCGATCACTCGAATCGATCCCGAAGCGATGTCTATACGGCGATTTTTGCAATGTGGAGAACGTACCCAAAATCAGATACATTGGCTAAGATCGACGGCCAAGTCACATCAACAATCTTTGAGGCGCTCGTGGTGCCAGAAGTGGAGATACGGTAGGCGAGTTCGTTCTGCTAATGTTATTTGTGGTATTTAACAAGCGAACCGGATCTCCTTGAAATGGCGGAGCACCCTCCCTTGTTAATGCTGGCACGCATTTTAGTTGATATAACCTAAAATCGGCGATATGACGACGCTAGCTATCAATTACGCAACGATGGTTGAGATCAGCTTTCTTCGATCATCAGGGTCTACCCGGACGGAGCTTCCGGGTTCAAGATATTGAAGCTCATTGACGGTCGCCCTCACCTAAAAACAGATTTTCCAACCCGTGCTGACAAGAAGGCACCTCTTTTTCGAAGTCTTCAAAGCCGACTTCGATTCCATTTTCCGCTCGGGCGTCGATGACGGCAAAACTCTCGGCAATTCGGATAGCATTTTGATTGGCGATTAATTCCTTGCTCTTTTTGTAGGCATAGCACGGGGTTTTTTCTCTATGGGGAGGCGCGCACGGGATAACGTAGCAGTCCAAGCGACAGGTGGATCGGCTGCGCGCACGGAGCCCCATATTAACCCCAGAGAGGGCCCGAAAAGTTGCCAAATTACCCTCTAAGGCTATAACTTTTTTCTAGAAACTTTGATAAATTCTCCACCTCACTATCGATAGAGAAGGATCCAAGCTACATTTTGGTAGCAAAATAAGGACGATCGCGAGGCACAACATTGACTTGAAAGCCGTTTAAATGGACCCAGGACTGAAAATCTGGAAATTGTGCGAAGCGTTTTTCTTAGAATTTAGACTTAGTCTTTCCGCTTTTTTGGTTTAGTTTGGCTGACGGATGATGGCCAATGACAAATTTGCTACTTACAAGGTGCTGGATGTCAAAACACCGAAGAGCCGAAGGCTTGATTTTCCAGACCTTCCGAATCAACCGGTACAACACCCCAATTTGCCTGCAATTGTTTTCAGGGGCAAACCTAAACAACCTCAGGCAATTCCTGGTAAAAACTAAGTTAAACGAGCCAGAAGTAGCCATAATCCCTCGATTTCTATGTGTAGCGTCAACTTGGGTAAATTTCGTCAGTTCTCGTTACTGGGGTGTGTATATCAAGGATGTGATGCTCTTCCGCACCTTTTCGTGAAAAAAGCAAAACGGGATCATGTTTCTTTCCCCGGGAGGGATCGAACCAGCACCCCCCACCTGTCCCTTGGACCGGCGCCTTAGACCACTAGGCCACGCCCCTCCCCACCCCCCATGCGCGCGAAAAGACCCCGTGATAGGGCTCGTCAAACATGCGATTATTTACCTGGAAATATACATGTCGCCTTGGAGATACCAGTTTTTTTTTTGAACCCTTCTACATATAAAAGTGGTCCAGCCCCAGAGCGGAAGTTCCCAGCCAATCTTTATTTCATAAGATCGAGGGCTTACGGGGCGCGCGGGCCAGACATTGCGCTACAGATTTTCATCTGCTGAATTCAATTCAGAAAACATAAGAGGGGCACCCACTTCCCCCGCGCAGCAGAAGTATACATGCGCACGACGGGCAAGCTGACTCAATTAACACCTGCCCTCGGGGCGGATGTGCATTAGGGAACGGATAATCTAATGAGATCGCCGGCCGGCCGCTATATGAGGGATGCGTTTGGGGGGTGATGGCACACTTTCTAGCCCGAGTAGAGATGTACGCCTTCCGCTACCTCCTTTGCGTGCTCTCGCTCGTCGCTATCACCCTGGCACTCGATTGCAGGTACGGTACCTTACGGAATAGGTAAAATTGGTCCTGATTTGTAGGAAATTCTCGTTCGCCCCGGCGTGCCGTGGGATTATGCTGAAGCGCAGCGGCCATTCGGCGCACACGGTATAAGCCTCCGGAAAAAAAACAGTTTATCCGCAAAATTCAGACGCTTTTCGACCTCTTCGCGCAGCTCGAGTCTGAGGGTACCGAGTGCGTGCCAATGCACATGATCTATGAGGCGCTCCAGCAATGTAAGTCTGACTAACAACCGGCTTCAACTTGAAGAACCAATTCTAGAAACCCGCAACTATGCCATCTACACCGCGCCATGTCCCCCACCATCCCCTATATCCACCAGAGATCTCAAGCCGAGGAGTGTTCAATAAATGTCGATAACCGTTGGGGCCCATTCGAATCGCACTCAACAACGATCAATATACCTTTATTTCTCAGCCAAAGTAACGTCTCAACGAATCCGGATCACAAGTGTAGATCTTGAAAGAGGAAACAAAAGTACAAAATTAATAACGTAGCCGGCGCGCAGTGTGAAAGGTGAATTCCCGTCATGAGTAACCGGAGGTTGGAAATCAAGTGCCTAGTGGGCCAAATGGAGATCATAGCAACGAGGAATGGGGGGAATGGCCTTAGTGGCCTCTGTTCTTCAGCATCACGTTGAGGTCCCGCTTGTAGTTGACAGCAACCTGGGCGAGGCTTTCCAGCCCGTCTTGGCAACTGGAACGGAATTTTGGAAGATTTTAGAATAGAACATACCGTGAGAGGTAGCGCTTGAGGGTAAGCAGGTCTTCGTCGGTCAGCTTTTGGCCAATCGTTCCCGGCTGGGCGTCAATCTCCTTCTGACGCGCTTCCATCTCGCGCAATTCCGCCAACAGGCTCGTCATTTTGTCCTAAAACGGAAATACAGGTTGCCAAACTGGACGTGGTATATTAGACCACATATAACAAAAAGCATGACCCAGAGCCCAATAACTACGGTAGTTTCGAAGTCTGGCAAATAAATAACGATACCTTCACTTGTCCTGGGGCGGTCAGTCGAGCCAAAAGAGACTCAGCGACGCTGCCGATCTGTTCTTCGGTTGCGTCGATCGGCTGGGCAAAACGACACTCTTCGGTCTGGGCACAGAGCGCTCTGAAAAACGTTATCTTGACAAAAAAAGCAGCTTTACCGAATCAACCGGAAAGAGACCTCCTGCAGCTTTGTGCGCAGCGCTTCCAAGCGAGCCCATGCCTGAAATGATACTAAAGAGCTACCGGATAAGCAACTTACACTAGACATTGCTGCTTCATTTCTGGTGGAGCGCTGCCCGAGCGCTTCCAGCACCTTATTTTGCATAGCGATCTAGAAAGACGACGATATAGGAGCACAGAACTTCAAACCTCTGCAAATTGGTTCTCGTGCCTCTGGGTCAGCGCATCGAATCCTCGAACCGGGACCGGAATCAGATTCTCCGGGTCAGGGTTGGACTTGATCGCCTGATTCCAAATGATTTGGTCGAGCCCTAAACAAAAATGCAAAAAATTCATTGTGCTTCACCTAGAGGCAAATCTCTCAGGTATTCGATCGTCTGCTGCTGGTTCATCCTACATTTGCTGACGATGCGTTCCGGGTCCACCTAAATTCATTCTAAGAAAAGACAGAACAAATATACCTTCATTTGCTGCACCAATTGGTTCTTTTGATCGTTCTGATTCAGATACTGGCAAAGTTCTATGCTGGTGATACGGCCCTTGCCCTTTTGCGTAATGTAGAATGTGACCTAATTAAGGTTTTTGATAAAACACGCAATTTTACCTCTGTACAATTTTCGGGCAACACTTTGTACGCCTCGATGTGGGGCTTGATCTCCGGCTTTGCGCCAAAAAAGCGGAACAGCGCGTCTTCAAGATTTTGCCTAAGAGGTTGAAGGTAACTCGGAAAATTTGCTCACTTTTGGCTTTCGGAAGCAAAGTCGGTAATCGGAGTCCGGATCACAATCGAGACCATGCCGTCCGAGTCATTGTAATGGGAGACAGAGTTGTAGGCGACGCCCTGAAGAGGTGAATTACAGAATGGAGAAAAAAACCAACCACAAAACGACACAGGAGCCCGTCCAGCGCGTATTTCACGGGCGGCTGTCCTTCAGCCCAGTAGCCCTCCGCCACGCTAAAATCAAAACTGATCAACAAACACAAAAAATCACCCCATAGCAGCAGCCGCCTGGTTCAACCGCCTGATGATATTATCACGTTCATCGCCGAAGAGCTGTGGACTAGTGATCGATCGGCTCAACGCGTTGCTATTCTAAAAATCAAACTAAAATAACTAAAGAAAGAGGTTACCTGGAAGATGGTCTGCAGCGTGTCTCGCATCTGTGTGGGTTGCTGTTGAGCAGGGGCTCCAAAGAGACCGCCTGTCGCAGCAGGTTTTGCGCCAAATAAGTTTGTCGACGTTGTAGATGCACCGAATGGGGCGGCTAAAAGAACAATAGGATTTACAATACGCATAATCCATACGCTTGGCCCCAAAGAGTCCCGCGTTGCTGGTCGAGCCGAACAGTCCTCCAGCAGCGGGCGCCGTCGAACCGAAGAGACCGGTGGAAGGGGTCGTCGAGGTGGCGGTGCTTCCAAAAAGTCCACCAGTGGAAGGGGTCGTCGAGGTGGCGGTGCTTCCAAAAAGTCCACCACCCGCTGGTGCCGTCGACGTCGTAGTGCTTCCGAAAAGGCCTCCTCCAGCTAAAAAAAAACAGGCTTTGAAAAATAAACTATCCTTTGTTTTCGCAAGTATAAAAACCGGATAAAAATATTGTGTATGTAATTGTTATAAGCCTGGAATCCGCTACATTTAAAAATTTGCTTTACTCCTCGTCATGGGCACACCGTGTATCAAAATCCAATATCGACCGTATCGGAACGAAACCCACCAGTGCTCGTGGAAGTCGAGCCAAAAAGTCCGGTAGCTGGCGCGGTTGAGGTGCCGGTATTGAGGCCGAACGGGCTGGCTGAAAAAAACGTGCATTAGCAGCCGAAAATCCAAACCCACCAGTGCTTGTAGAAGTCGAACCAAAAAGTCCAGCGGCTGGCGCGGTGGAGGTGACGGTATTGAGTCCGAAGGGGCTCGCTAAAATGGTCTTTAACGCGGTATCAAATCGAAACTCACCAGTGCTTGTGGACGTCGAACCAAAAAGTCCTGCAGCCGGGGCGCTGGTGGCGCCGGTGTTGAGGCCAAAGGGGCTGGGAGCTGAATACCACTTTCTGAATAACCAAATAAAACCGACTTGCACTCGTCGCCGTCGTCGACCCGAACATAGGTTTGACGGCAGCCGTCGGGGTTGTCCCGAACAAACTCATCGCCTAGAATACGGATTTGAGGGTGACTTACACCGGAAAATAAGTATTGAAGTAGAAAAGGGGGGTTTTCACGCAAAGTTGCAGAATTTGGGGGCCCGGCCGAACCAGTGACACTTTCAAAATGGAGTGGTTACGGTGGAAAGGGCGGCAGGATAGGAGTAAGGGTGGGGGGTCGGGGGCCAAAAAAGTTTCTCATTCCGCGGCGGCCATCAAAACAAATTCCCGACCCGGTATCCGCGATCGATCGTTGTGGAAACGCAGGGAATTGCTGATCGAAAGGATAAGCTTTGTGTTTCCTCTTACTTCCGCTTCTTTTCATCGATACGAGCGGCATCCGGCTTCATTTAGAATTCAACAACCGCGGCAATTTCGCCCATAATTTCAGTTTTCAAGCGCTTCTTGATAAACTTTTCTACCCGATTTCATCCCATTTCAGTTTTGATAGGCTGGCTTTCTCATAGAACTCGCGTCCCTTCATCTATTTTTGCTGTGTAGACAGTCTGTAAACAAACAAACACTCAACCATCCACCCCTTCTTTTTCACTTGTCTAGCCGTGAACACCGCATTCGGCACAGATCTCAGCCCAGAAGTAGCCCGAAACTGTTCTCCGCGCGATGACCTTCATCTTTTTTGGGTAAGCCAAAGAACAGCCCATTATCCTCTCGATAATCTGCCGATCGATTGGGTGGGCCCCCCGAATCGCTGTTCGGATCGGCCCGAAAAAAACATTACCACGTCGTGCGATCAAAGACCTCCCATTCCCGTGCAGCTGCGCGCGCTCTATCGCTCGAACTACACATGCACTTGTTATCATCGCCAGACCTTTTTTTGACACAACCTTTTCGCTAATAATACACAACATCCGATCGGCGCATATTCACATGCAGTTTCTCATTGCGTGCTTTGGTGGTGATTTTTAAAAAGCCTATCCCTTTGTTGGGACTTTCGCAACGTTTTTCAACCGAAGCGCTCGTCTAGTTACTTCGTCAGTTAAAAATGACATGGAACATCCAGTAGAGCAGAATTACCGAACTTCTACTGTCTTTTCTTCTTTGGAATTTTACTTTCGCTCTTCTTCTTTCTACTTCGGGACGACTTATTCTAATCTTTTTTTTTTAGAATTCTCAGCAGAATGGCCCCGTTGAGAGTGACGATTGTGGGCTCTGGCAATTGGTATGTTCTTTTTTGAAGAGTTTATGATCTTGTTTTTAGGGGTTCGGCCATTGCACGGATCGTCGGCGCCACCACGAAGCAGAACCCCGGCGACTTCGACACCACCGTCAAGTTTGTTCACTAGCTTTATTACATTATCTTTTTTAGGATGTGGGTCTTCGAGGAGATGGTGGACGGGCGCAAACTGTCGGAGATCATCAACGAGACGCACGAGAACGTCAAGTACCTGCCGGGCAAGATCCTACCGGAAAACGTGGTACGTGTTTGTCCACATCGTCAGATAGTGTTGATTTTTCGAAAAAGTCTTCTTTTCAGGTGGCCGTCCCGGACCTCGTCGAGTCGTGCCGCGAGGCCAACATCCTGATCTTTGTCGTACCCCATCAGTTTGTCGCCCGCATCTGCTCGCAGCTCAAGGACAATCTCAAGGCCGAGGGTGGCGTCCAGGCCGTCTCGCTGATCAAGGTAATTTACCGAGCTTCTCCCAGAACTAGTTTTAGGGTGTCTCCGTGCGCAAGGAGGGTGGCTTGAAGCTGATCTCGGAGGAAATTACGGTAACCTTTTTTGACTTTTGTAACTTACTCAAATCATTTTGTGGTTGCTGTATTTTACATTTGCGTTTAGGATGCGCTCAACATCCCGTGCTACGCCCTGATGGGCGCGAATTTGGCCCCGGAAGTCGCTTCGGACAACTTCTGTGAGGCCACCATCGGCTGCAATGACAAGAAGGATGGCCCGATCCTCAAGAAGCTCTTCCACACCCCGAATTTCCGCATCAGCGTCGTTGACGATGGGCACACCGTCGAGCTGTGCGGCGCGTTGAAGGTATTTTCGGGTTTGGTACTTTATTTGATCTTTTTAGAACATTGTCGCGTGCGCTGCCGGCTTCTCAGATGGCCTGGGCTACGGTGATAACACGAAGGCCGCGATTATTCGCCTTGGGCTGATGGAGATGACCAAGGTGAGGTTTTTACTTGTTTATTTTTATTTATGTTTTTCAGTTCGTCGAGCACTACTACCCAGGCTCCAACCTTCAAACGTTCTTCGAGTCTTGCGGCGTTGCTGACCTGATCACCACCTGCTACGGCGGCCGCAACCGCCGTGTCTGTGAAGCTTTTGTCAAGTCCGGAAAGGTGATTTGATTTTTCGCTAGTAAATTCCTTATTTTCTAGCCTCTGGCCGAGGTCGAGAAGGAGCTGCTGAACGGCCAATCCGCACAAGGACCTCTGACCGCCGAAGAAGTCTATCTGATGATGGAGAAGAGCGATGGACTCCACGAAAAGTATGATTTCTATCCATTTCTCATCTAGCTCTCCAGATTCCCGCTCTTCACCGCCGTCCACCGAATCTGCTCGGGTGCCTTGCAGCCGAAGGACCTGATCGACTGCCTGCGCGACCACCCCGAGCACATGGGCGACTTCTGAACACCACGGCCCCGCCAGCTCAACTATGAAAAGCCCCCCCCATAATTTTCCTACGTGTCTAGCTCGCTTTTAGTTCCCCACCTGTTCTCGCATCTCATTGTCATTTTAAACATTTTAAAGTTTTGTCAAATATTATAGCTACATCCTTACCGCTTGAATCGGATCCCAGTCTCTGTATGTCTCTGTGATTATACCTTGCCAATGCTGCGATGTGAATAAAGGATTAGTCAGTGAAATGGCGGTTCGGGACAAGATACAGCGGACTTTCCAAGACATATTCAACTAGCGGAGACCTATAATTCGAACGTTTGTGTGACGCGTGATTGATAAAAATACAGATGCGTGGGCGCAGATGAATCCTGTCCGCAACACCGCGTGGGCTGGGCTGCCCCGTTTTCGCGGCTACTGGAAGCACTATGATTACTGCGAAAAGTAGGTAAAAGAGCCAAAAAGCACGCCTTTAGATGGAAACGTCACTTTGCCCGTGCAATGGCAAAAAGACAAACAGATCGGCCGAGCTCGAGCAGCTCTTTCGAAGAGGTTGGTTGCGAATAAAGCTGCTGACGTTCCGTAGGAGAGCAGAAATCAAAGCTAATTTAGGAACAAATACTCGAACTGAGCCAACAGCTCGACGAGACGTTACATCCGTCTGCGGAAATAAAAAGTGCGTTTTGAAATACTATGCGGATCACAGCGTTTAGAACGAACGAGTCGAAAACGGACAAATCCGCTGCCAATCAACCCACGACTGCAAAAGGTTTGTGCCAACCGCCAAATAAAGAGCTTGCTTAGATTCCGCGAATCGCGGCTGATGAAAGTTTTGGATATGGTTACCAGCCTATGCCAGAAGAGGACAGGATGGCCGAAGTGCAGAATAAGTTTTGCCTGGATACGGGTAAGTATAGGCAAAGAAATTACTAAAAGAAGCTTTTAGTCTCCTTGTTTGCCAAGATGAACGGCGGCAATCGTCAGCGAAAACCGCTAGAGAAGGCGCCAGAGCCAAGGCCAAGTGCCGCCGAGCTCTATGGAGAACATTCACAACGGGTTGGTTGCAAGCAGCGAGCTCGAAGCTAAGATTTTCAGATTCGAGCAATGGAGACGGCGCTGGACATCCAATTCGAATTTTTGGTGGAGCGTCGCAAACCGGTCAGATGGCCGAAGAAGCCCACATCGGGCGCGCAACGATTTTGAACGGAAATTTTATTTAATTTTTTTATGGGTATCTCTACCTGCATTTTATAGTTATTTTTGAAAACGGGTTAATCATTTTCTTTTTGTTTTCGATGCCTTTTCCCTCCATTTAAATGCCTTCGTTCGATCTTTGTAAACAATTATTTATTGCCAGCGAGCGGTGTTTATTTGCGTGTATCACATATTTTTTCACAATATTTCTCCATTTGCACACATTCCTATATATGTATTTTGTTTCGCAGCGGGGACGCGCGTGTAAATAAGTAGTGCCGGAATCTCAGCGAATAAACAAAAATAACTAATGAAAATAATGGTAAAAAGAACATTGAATGGCCGACCGGATGTGTAGAACTTTCGAAAGGACGCAGCTCAGAAACAACAAGTAATAAAAAAAGTATTAATTGGGGTCATTGCGCTGGTTGAGCAGTAGGGGGTTATCGGTACACGCCAATGCTTTGGGACACGAGAAAATAAAGTGGTAAAAATCTTTTGAAGGCCAAGGTTTGGGGGAATAAGGCAAGGATTTGTTTGGGGGACTTCATGGAGATTGGAAAGGCACTTTTTAAAATATCGTTAGCGCGAAAAAGTGATTATGCTTCAGGGGAAACAACGATATAAATAAAATAAGTATTCGACTGATCGGGGCAGCAAAATTTTCGCGGAATTTCGCCTTTAAAATCTGGCTCATACAAATTCCTGCAACAAAAAGCCTTTTGATTTTGTTGGGGGCAACCGGGACTAGACGAGAAGTGGTGGGTTAGATATTTTAGGCCATGTTTTTCGGGCGCTTGACGACAATGTGGACGGGCCCGCGGACTTGCTTCAGCTTTTCGACGAGCGCGGCCGGGGAAGCCGTGCCAACCTCCTCGCCGTCGATGGCCCACATCCGGTCGCCGACTCTGAAAGAATGATTTGGTTATGTGATCCTTGGAGAGTAAGTTTTGTCTTCAGATTGTGCAGGTTTTTGAAAAATAAACAAGCAGCTTGAAACAAACATTTCGGCGTAGGCCTTGATTTTCTGCATAGATTTTTTCAAACAAGCGATTTAACAGGGTTTTCAACTATTACTTAGCATAAAAATTTGCAAATTTTTGTTACAAATTTAATTTTTCGTCAAGAAAAATTGATTTTTTCAACACAAAATGGCCAGAATTTCGATTTTTTTCAATTTGCAAAATGAAGAGCGCAAAAACCTTCGTGAAGCTGCGTGTAAAAACGAGAAAAACATTTTTGGCAATCGATTTTATTTTTTTTCAGATCCTTGAGATGGTTTGTGTTCATCTACAGACGAACACCATCACCAACCTGAGCGTGGCCTCCTTTTCCGCCGCCGAATCCGGGCCGATCGTCCGGATGAAGATGCCGTCAAAGCCGGTGCGCTTGGCGAGCGATAGGCCGAGCGAGCCGCCCTCGCCCTTATCGAGGGTCACACGGATCGTCTTCTCGTCCTCGTCGCTGTCGTCGTCGTCCGTTTGACCTTGTTTTTCTTCTCTTCTAAAATTTAATGGGATCTTTTAGGTGACATACAAAACTCCAGACCTCAACGTCAGCTGCACGACCTGCCCGGCCGTCCTCAGCATGTTCACCACCTCCTGGTGCGTACGATTTATCGCCGACACGCCGTCAACCTATAGCAATGCAGCAAATTTAGTTTTTTTTGTCATTCAATCAAATCGAGCTAACCACCTACCGCCACCAGCACGTCCATCGGCTTCACGTTGGCGCTCAGCCCCGGCTCGGCGGTGACCTGCTTGATGCAGACGCGGCCCGCCTGGCTGGCGATCTGGATGCCCAGGCTGCCCGCGCTGTTCCGCACCAGCTCCACGTGGATCAGGTCTGCAAAATTCAAGTCGCCAAGTTCTGGGACTGCCTGCAAAACGCCACGCGTCCGCAAGACGTTCAGGCAAGAGAGTTAGAGATTTAAGAAACCTACCATCATCCTCGCCGGCCTCGTCCAACTCCTCGGTCCAGTCGAGGTTTGATCTTCTGCAATGGGTAAATTGTAGTAGGAGCAAAAATAAGCTTAAGAAGGAGCTTGGCCGACTCCAAGCCTAAGCTAAGCATAAGCTAACCCCAAGCTAAGCCACTTTTCCCAAGACCAACCTGTGCTGTTGATATTTCCTCGGCTCTCTGGCCGGCGGCGTGTACTTCTCCGGGGCGAACTCCTCGATTTGGGCTTGCCGCTGAAAACATTTTTAAAAAATTCAAACTGATTTCTATAAACAACAGAATACTGCTGGCAACCTGCCAAAATACCAACCTGTCCCCTTGACGATCCACCTAGGGTGTCCTCGTCGGTGTTGTCGTACGAGTAGATGGTGTGCGGGGGCAGCCGGTATTCCCCCTTCTCCTCGTCCGACTCGTCAAGGTGAAGCCTGAAAAACAAGGGTAAAACCTGACCAAGATGACAGAAATTACCCGGAAATGGCGCGCATCTTGTCGGCGATGATGTCGTCGCTGTTCAACACCGGCAGCTGGTCCCCAAACGCGCCAAAGTCTGGAGAGGACGCGAAAATCACGAGGCTCTATGGTAACTCACCAGAAACAGCGCGTTGGCGCTTATTCGGTTGTTTCCGGGGTGCGGGCGGGGTTCGGGATTGGGCCCTCGTGCCCGAGGAGTTCGGCGCACCAAGCCCATTGTGGTGGCCGTTGTTCTGGGGTTTGCTGCCGGTGCTGTCGGCCGAGAATTGGCGAGCGTGCGCGGCGACGCCTTCGAGCCGTGAGACATCGATACGCACCGTTGAGCCGGATGCCTGAAAGGTGTCTTGAGCACCAGCTTATCGTTAGTCGCCCGAGAAAAGAAAGCACCAGTCGAGTCTAGTCAAATCATAAGCCTAAGCTTGCCTAAGCCTAAGCTAAGCCTAAGCTAAGTAAAAAGTTATGAGCATTTTAAGTTTTACATGGAAATCCGCCCCCCGCGAGAAGAGCCCCACCCAGCGCACCCTGTCCATCGGTCTCGTGGCCTAGTGGTTTGCGCATGGGTCTCTGGGCTGTATGACCAGGGTTCGGATCCCCTCACGATTTTTATTTTTTGCTTTTTGACCGGTTCCTACTTTTTGCATGTCCAAACTTGGGAATAAGTTTTTCTTTACTGTGTGACCACTAAAAAGCACCAGCGATGATAAAATAACCTCCGGCAACAAAACTAGGATTGGATGCTCTCTATATCAAAGTTGGCAAAATCGTCGGAAACCGCCCTTTTAAGGCTCTGTGCGAATTCGAAGAATTTAATTCGTCAAAAATGGAGCAGTACATATTGATCAGCAGAAAATTCCCTATCGAATGAGCTATCTTACCTGCGCTTTACGCCAAATTCTCGAAAAGTCTTTGGCTAGCTGGCCATGCCCTACCCTTACCCTGCATTCCAAAAATATTTTTTGCGGAAATTTTTGGCAGCCGTATGTAATATTGCTCATTTGAAAGAGCTTTCTTTGTTGAACAAGGAACACTAATCAGTTTAGACTAAATTCGATTCCGCGGGATGATACAGGGTCTCAAAGATGCTGTTTTTGGTCATTTTGCCGACTTTGAAGCCTCATAACTTTTTACCGTTATGCGCTCCCGTTGATTTTGTTACATATTTGGAATCCTCTTGTCACGGCGCGTCGAATGGTGTATCTGACTTCTCAAAGTTCGATGGCAAGTTCAGATACTTCCCTAGTAAGCCTAAAGCAAGCCGAAGCCTAAGCCTACGCCTGGGCCTAACTTTAAACCTAAGCCTAAGCCTGTGCCTGAGCCTGAGCTGCGAATCGTAAGCCTAACAGCTACATCTCGCCCGAGCCAATAAGCGGAAGCGAAGCCGAAGTGAGGCCTACGTGTAGCTAAGCAGGCCAAGTCTCATTCCGACGGTTTTTACGCTTTTCAAGGGACTTAGGAAGGGTAATTGGGCCATGCTTACCTTGACCAAGTCGACGGCTCGATGCCGATCGGCGCTCACGAGCGAGATTCCGTTGACGGCCAATAGACGATCGCCGACGAGAAGACCCTAAAAGTCTTCTTGCGCAATTTTTAGCAAAACCTACGCTCTTCTCGCCGACTCCGCCCGGGGCCATCGACTTCACGTACACGCCGGGGATCTGGAAAAGAGAAATGAGACAAAATTTGAGATTTTCTTGCCTTATTCAAGGTGCCGTCGACGAGAGTTAAGCCGAGACCGCTGGAGGGGTCTTTCTGGAGTGTGGCGGTGAAGGTGGCGCCGGGTGGGGGCCGATTTTCGGCTTCATCCGATGAGGGGGTCGGTTGGTGGGGTGGCGAGCGGAAGTCTTCGGCGCTATCTGAAAAATGACGTGGGGTTAGTGGCAAAACTATTAAAATATTTTTAAACACGTTACGGACGTCGGGATGTGTTTTCTCTCGCTCTGTCTGCCTCTCTCTCCTGCCCCGTCAGGGGTCTCTCTCCCGCATTATCTGTTTGTCTCTCTCACGCACCCTTTCTCTCGCCCTGTCTCTCTCGCTCTCTCTATCTCGCTTTCTCACACACCCTCTCTCCAACTCTCCCTCGCTCCGTATCTCTCTCTCGTCCTATCTCTCTCTGTCTCTCTGTCTCTCTCTCTCTAATTCTCTCTAGCTCACCCCCCCCCTCTCAAGAACACAACAAAGCTACTCGCACAGCACAACGAACCATCATCATCTTCAAAGCTCCGTGTCTGAATCGGTGTCGTCGGGATGGAGGGGGTACGGTAGATTTTTGGGAAAAGTTGTTCGGCGTCGTCCAGGGGGCTGGCAGGTTCCGCTAAACACCATACACTACAGTTAACACCACGAAATAGCAGGTCGAATTTTAATCTGTCTTTCTCTCTATCTCTCTTTCTCTTCAGCACAAACCTCGGTTCTGGTGGTTCCGCCTTGGCAGTGATCCCTCGGCAGCCACATCCGGAAGTGTTGACAGGGAGCGTTCGGTTCTAGAGTTAACAAATTGAAATGAGAGGGGACCTAAAACATTATGCAATGAAATCGCAAGCCGCGTCGCGTGTCGCGACGTCGAAAAATGCCGATAGCATACTCCAAAATTCCGCACTCACTTTAGCGTGTTCTTCCACTGCCGCATCCGCATCATAAACCGGTGCTGCGAGGCGGCAAAGCGGACAAAGTAGGCCGACCTGAAAATCGGGATTCAGAAAGAGTACGGTATTCCAGTACGATGGCCAACATTTTAAAGGACCGTTGAAGCGACCAGGCAGGCTAGCAGAGAGTCTTATGGACCTTCAGTCAAAGTCAGCCTTCAGCGTACCTTTAAAATTTCAAACAAGGGGCCAGGTCAAGCCGGATGGGCAGACAAATCGGTTAGTGAAGCGCGAACGTAGGGATGGCTATTTAAAGGGGTGTGCCAGGAGCGATACGGGCCGTGACGCGAGCCGCAACACAACACGCGACGCACCCTGGCACGCCCTCTTCAAATTGGAGCAACATTTAGGGGCGGCCGGACAGCAGACAATCGGGTTTTTTTCAGCGACATTTGGGAAATTGAAACACATCTGGACTCGTGATTAGTATCGTTTCGTACTTATAGTCCACCGGGCCCGCCCACACATAGTTGTTGCTAAAGTATTTATTTCATGGTTTTTAGCAGTGTAGAGGCATGTTAAAAACTACCGAAAAGTGAATTGTAGCTTTACTCGTGTGACTACTTCAACAAATTCCAATTTTTAGCGAATTTTCTTGAGCTGTAGGTCAACTAAACTTACTTGCTGTAGTGGTCGGTCCAAAATACCGTCTCAGATGGCTCGCCGTTCCGCTGGGCAACGATGACGAAACTGAAACAGCGGATTTTAAGGGGACCGGTAAGCGACGGACATTTTGAAATTGATATGAAACAAATGAATTTTGAAATGTCGGCATTCTGGAGTTTCGACATTTCGAAAATTTTCGAATTTTTGAAAGTAGCAGACGCACTGTATCCCCATCTCCCTAAAACTCACCGTTTCTTGTCAAACTGCAGCGTCTGCGTGCACTGCCACACGTGTTCGGCCAGGCTGTGCCGGACACCCGCCTGGAAAGAGTATTTTTTCACGGGCCGCAATTCCTTGTTTTTCTGTCCTTTAAAGCCCCTTTCTACTTGCTTAAAAATAGTGAAAACCAGTCGAAAGGTAATCGCGCTCATGCTCCTCTACCTGCTCCTCCAACACAATGATCCCCTTTGGCATGATGGCGATCCACATATTCGCGCCGGTGTCCGGATCAAAAGGTGATGCTCCGTGCGCCGTTGAGGGCTTTGACCGGAAGACACGGTGAAGATGAGCACCGTAATCCGGCAGACATGTGCAGACCTAAAAGAGAAGGTATAGGGTCGGATAGAGAGCGAGGGAGATAGGAAGAATGAGAGGGAGAAAGAAAAAGCTCACTTGGATATAGCGAGTCTCGGCCTCCTTTGCCCGAAGTCCTCTATATTTTTCGTGCCGCTGCCCGATCTCTGATTGCACCGCCTTCTCGTCGTCGAATTGGTAGAAGCGCTGAAAAATCGGGTGTATTTATTTCGGGAGAGCGAGATAGAGAGAGAGAGAGAGAGAGAGAGAGAGAGAGAGAGAGAGAGCAAGGGCGATTCATGCTCACCCGTTGCAAATAGTACTCCATGGCGAAGTAGTCCTTGACGGCGGGCGGTGGCCGGTCTCCGAATTCCACCTGAAAACGAGCGCGAGCTACAGACTACACATTTTGTCCTTTACTACAGACTATAAAGCAAACTAAATGATAATATACAAAGTGCAAAGCTGGGAAACTACAGACTACAAACCTGTAGCGCCAGGGCGGCCAGCTCGTAGGCCTTGTCCTTTTTGGGTTGTAGTCTGTCCTCCAGGATGTCGCGGCGCAATTGAAGGTATAATTCATGTAGCGTTACGTCGGTTCTGGAAGAGTTCCGAGGAATTTTCATAAAACCCACTTGATAAACTCGAGGATCTGGGGGTAGAAGCGGAAACGCAGGTGCAGCGTGTAGCCGACCCGTCGCGTCCGATCCTTCCACCCGGACGGCGCGAACTTCTCCAGCCGCTGCTCGTCGTCGAGGAAAAAGTGCTCGCCATCTGAATCAAGGCGGGTAAAGTGGATCGACGACTGTAATCTATGGGCGTACAGTAGCTAGAAAAAAGCCTACCTCTCAGCACGGAAAGCCCGAAGAAGACGTGCTCGTTGATGTTCATGTGGCCGACGACCAGGCTGAAGACGTCGGCCGTCAGCACGTCTGAGCGGCACGACACCTGAAATTTGCATTTTTTATGAGTATGCGGTTTAAAAGGGGCTGGAAAGGCAGATTCTACCTCAATCTTTTGCCCATTCAGCAGCTCGACCATGACGTCAGTTTGCTCGACGCGGTGGAGCACCATTTTCTTCTGCAAAAAGGGGACTATAGCATAGAAGAAAGAAATACAGTACCTTCTTGGTGGTGGGCGCCTTGAGGCGGAAGGCCGGTTGGCTTTTCCGGTCGACAAATTCGGGCTCGGATCGTGTCTGGAAAAGAGGTATTAGGTAGGGAAGAGATAGCGGGGGGGGGGGGGAAGAGAGAGAGTGAGTGAGAGAAATAGAGAGTGGGAAGAGAGCGAGAGAGAGAGCGAACTATCAGGTTGGAACGAAAGTTCTGTCGCCGAGATTTTGGGAGGCTGGCTAAATTCGTAGATAGCTCGATTCTGCACTTGCGATATGTCATTTTGTAGCTCTCGGCCTGGACGGTTTTGGGAGGAGGGTCCTGGGGCCTCAAAATCAAGAACGGCCGAGATACAGGCCCAAGAAGTTTTTTTAAAAATTACGCAAAAGTGTTTTTGCAAGTTATCTCTGCATACAGCCATTTGCATACGATACCTTTAACACCAATCGATAGATCTCGAGGAGTAGATATGGATAGATCTTGAGATCATCAAAATTAGACACTGGATGACCGAGATATGGCCCCTTGAAGTTTGGCCCATTTCTTAGAACTTTTCCCGATTTCCCATAGATTTTTTCAAAAATTGGACGGAAAGGTCCGAAAATTGCCGCTTTATTTTTGGACTAACGGAGCGGATTTTGAAAAAATCTATGGGAAATCGGGAAAAGTTCTAAGAAATGGGCCAAACTTCAAGGGGCCATATCTCGGTCATCCAGTGTCTAATTTTGATGATCTCAAGATCTATCCATATCTACTCCTCGAGATCTATCGATTGGTGTTAAAGGTATCGTATGCAAATGGCTGTATGCAGAGATAACTTGCAAAAACACTTTTGCGTAATTTTTAAAAAAACTTCTTGGGCCTGTATCTCGGCCGTTCTTGATTTTGAGGCCCCAGGACCCTCCTCCCAAAACCGTCCAGGCCGAGAGCTACAAAATGACATCTCGCAGGTTCAGAATGGAGCTAACTACGAATTTAGCCAGTCTTCCAAAATCTCGGCGACAGAACTTTCGTTCCAACCTGATACATGCAGGTAGACATCGAGAGAGAGGGGGGTTATCGATCGAGAAATCGAATGAGGCTCAGAATGAGCACGAGAATGAGAGATAAGGATGAAACCAGAGAGCGAGAGAGGGACAGTAAAAGATAGAAACCGGGAGGGAGACAAGAGACACAGAGAGAGAGAGTGAGGAAGAGAAAGAGAGAACTTATATGAGTTGAATAGCCCTTAACAATCCGAAAATTTCCCCCCCACAAAAATCAATCGAATCCCGAGCCGTTTTCGGGTCCCGTGCGTCCCGAAACGCGGACCAACACCGTCGAGTGACAGCCCCGATTTCCGGATGACGTGTATGTCCCACCCGGCCCCCCCCCCCCCCCCCCGATTTTCACCCTCCATTTCGGAATCGTATTTTGGAAATCTCCGATAAACATCTACCAAGAAGCGAAAAAGTGAGGTTGCGATGCCTTCTGAAAATCTCACCTTCCCGGCCCTTCTCCGCTGCGTACTTCTTCGTGACACTCGCCCGGGGGTCAGGCTATTCTTGCGCTGGAAGCCGGACAGGTGCGGGGAGTCTCGGACGGACGGAGGTGTGCCTGGAATTGTCGTAATTTTTTTTAGGATCTACTTTCTCTCTCTCTTTCTCCCTCTCTCTCGCTCTCTCTCTCTCTCTCTGTCGGTCTGCTCCTCTCACTCTGTCGGTCTGCCCCTCTCTCTCTCTCTCTCTCTCTCTCTCTCTCTCTCTCTCTCTCTCTCTCTCTCTCTCTCTCTCTCTCTGTCGGTCTGCCCCCCTCTCTCTCTCTCTCTCTCTCTCTCTCGAAACATCACTCACCTCTCCCCTCCACAACTCCAATGACCGGTAGATGGCTCTCCCTCCTCTTCTGGATCTCCTTCTTGAAGATGTCGTCAATCGACTCCTGGGCTTCACGTTGATGGCTTGGATTTTCAGAAACCTCCTGTTCCTCTGGCTTCTCCTCGAGGTCGAGCTCCTTGGGCGGGTTCAGCTCCAACGGCTTGGGGATGTTTTTGCGGCCCGGGGGCGTGGGAGTGGTTTGCTGAAAATAGGACGTAAATGGCCATTTTAACTTTGAACTCCACGGGAATCCCAAAATTCAGAGGCTATTTGAAGCTAGCCATCAAGTTCAAGGAGTTAAATTAAAATCGATTCAAAGAATTGAGAAATCGAAACTTTGAACTTCTTTTAAAATGAGCCATCAAGTTCAAGCAGTTTAGGCATGAAAAAATTCAAAGATATGTTAAAGGTATAAATCCAAATTTGCATACCTGCGCCCCAAAGGGTGACCGCCGATTGTTCGCGGCCGGCCGCTCATCGACGTCACTGTCCGAGGAAGAAGCCTCCTCCTCGGCGTCGTCGTCGTCGAACGGGTTCGTGTTGCGGCGCTCTAGAGGTTACGGATTATGGAATTTCCCGATAATTTTCATACCCCCTCGACTCCTCGGGTTCTTGGTGAAAAGGCCGCGGGTCTTGGGGGCCTCTTCCGGTACGGCCTTCTTGATCACCGGCTTCTTCAGGGGCTCCGGCGAGGAGTTCGGGCCGCCGCGTGCTGAACTCGCTGAAAAGGTTGCACTTAAAATTGCTGGGAGTTTTCTCCGTTCCTCTTCTCATTTTCTTACGATTAGTGCATACCACGACCCTATTAACTTTTACACAGCTTTACGAAGTACGCCGAGCTTCAAAAAACGCCTGTTAAGAATGTCGGCGGACTACAAATTACACCCTTAAAAAGCAACAAAAAAGTGCAAAACAAATCCAGAATGTTGTGCAAAATAACTGACACTCGTCCTCCTTGAAGCTGCTGACGGCCGAGATGCTGGAGGTGACGCTCGAGCTCGGCGTGCGGCCACGGCTGTCTACTAATCGGACGTTGCGAGAAATGTGGAAAGTTTTGGCGTGTTTGTGAGTGGTAGATCGCTCTCTCTTCCTCTCTCTCACTCTCTCGCTCTCTCTCTCCCTCGCTCTCTCTCTCTCTTTTTTAGCTTCGGGCTATCAAAAATGTGCAATTTGGCATCCAATTTCCGGTGCCACAGCAAAAAACAATGCAAATAAGACTGTTTGAAGCAAAAAAGTTAGAAGCCACGCTAAAAAAATCTACCATATTCTTTTCTCAGTTTAATAGCATTATTGTGCCAAACTACACCAATTTACGGGCTACAAACTACAAAATCGAACCACGGAATTTCAAAAGATCCCAAAACTAACCTTTATTCTGGCTCCTCGGCGGCGCCTTTGGCGTCGGGACCTCGGCGATCGAAGAGAGAGACGGTGCCTCTTTTTCCCGCATCTCTTTCTCAATCTAAAACTTTTGTTTTTAGGCAAACGAAAGTGTTACGGACCTCGAGGAAATAGTCCTTTTGATTGCTGCGCGTCGACGATTCGAGGTCGTCATCGGATAGATGGGCGTGTACAATATCGTCTGAGCCCGACGAGAATTTGTGAGTCTAAAGTAAGTCATAAGTTATTTTTCAATCTCTGTCTTTCTCTCGCTCTCTCTCGCTCTCTCTATCTCTCTCGCCCTCTCTTTCTATCTCTCCCAAGTATACCTTACCAATTTCTTTGCACCTTCCGTGCTATTTTGCACTAGCGCAGGCGCGGGAATCGGCTCGTTGGTGTGCATTCGTTTTGGCGGAACCGGCGACTCATCCTCAGCCTGAAAACGACGGTCCTAAAGGGTTTAGTAACTTCCAGAATCTACTCCCCCTTCAGCTAGATCTCGACAAACGCACGCTAGGCCAAACCCAAGGACAAAACTCACCCTTCGCCCCTTCAAATGCTCGAATGGGTCGCGGCCGGATAGTGTCGACTAAAAGGTGCCCATACTACCGTAGTCCATGATTAGGCGTACCTGGTTGAAGGGGGATTGGAGCTCCTCCTCGTCGCTGTCGAACGGGTTGTTGTCGTTTACGGGCTAAAAAGGGGATTTCGGCATTGAGTCATGGATTTCTTAGTTTAGGCTTGGGCTTGGCTAGGCTTGAGCTTAGGATTAGACTTAGCTTTTATAACTTTAACCATTTTTAATCCACCCTACCTCTGCCACTTTTGTCGTCGAGCTGGACGCGTAGTGGGTGGTGGTGACAACGGTTTCTAAATTTCTAAATTCTAAATTTTTCCCAGGGTACCGTACCCTCTTTTCGCTCCAACTTCGGCTCACTTACAAAGTCATCGTCAAAGGGGTTGTGCTTCGGAATGGGCTGGAATTACGGGTTATAATTTTTTTAGCTTTCTGCAGCGTCAAAGAGCCTCGATAGCGTCTAATAACCCCTAAATTAAGGCACACAACCAGCAGAAATGGTTGAGGAAAACTGGTTGAACTTGATGATCCTGGGAAATCTGACCTTCTTGCCCAGCTCTTCATCCGAGCTCTCGGCACTCGATGGCTCACCATCCCCATCCTCATCTTCCGTCGAGAAATCCATGGTCCTCGATATGACGGCCTTCTTGACGAACGACGGTGTGCCGGCGGACGTTTCGGCCGTGCTCGGGCTGACCGGATCCATGTCGGTGATCACGATCGTGGGCTCGTTGTGCGCACGACGGGCTTCTGGGGGTGCAACTTTACGGAATCAGCTCGGTAAATACCTTCCAGGTCGGAGTCGATGTCGAAGCCTCGGCTGCTTGCCCGGGATCTCGGGGCATCCGGCTCGAGGTCACGCTCCGATATGTCGGAATCGGTGAGCTGAAAGGAGCATTAAGGGTAAGATTCGTTGGGAGAATTGACACGGCCGCTAGAAGGAGTTGTGACTCTCGCTGTCTCTCTGTCTCTCCTTCCTCTCTCACTCTCTCCCTCTCTCTCTTTCCCCACTCTCTCTCTGTCTCTCTGTCTCTCTCTACCTCTCGCTCACCCTCGCTCTCTCTCTCTCGCTTTCTCTCTCTCTCTCTCTCTCTTTCTTTCTTTCTCTATCTCTCACTATCTCTCTGTCTCTCCTTCCTCCCTCGCTCTCTCTCTATCTCTATCCCTATCTCTCTTTCCATCTCTCTCTCTCTCCTTTTTCTCCTCCTCCAAAACCCCAAACTACCAACCTGATTCTCATCCTCGTCTCCCATCACTTCCAGGTAGATGTCTTGGACGATATCTCTGGCATCCTGGCCCTTCAACTGATTCCGCGCCATCTGGGCCATCCGTTGCGGGGTGGGCCTGGTCCCTAAGAAAATCGCTCACATCCAAAAATCCTAAAAATGCTTCTAAAACGCCTCAAAATTCCCTGTCTGCAAATAAGGGCGCTTCTGTATCAGTTTCTGCTGCAAAATCGTCACTTTACGATGTAGTGTGACAGCAATATTCTAGTGTGACCCACCAATTAACGGCACGGAGAGGATGTTGACAAGGGAGAAGAGCTCGGCCTGGGCGATCAGCTCGGAGCCAGCTTGTTTCAAGACTAGGGTTAAAATTAGCATAAGAAATCAACCAATTTCTACCGGCTCCCCAGCAAAATACGGACGCCGCGATCGGGTCATCCTCATCTTTGGCCCACTCGGGCGGCTCGTACTCCTTGGAGACTTTCTCGGCACTGACGGCTTCGATCTGAGAATGGGGAGGTTAGAGAGAGACAGAAAGAGACAGCGAGAGAGCGAGAGGGAGAGAGAGAGAGAAAGAGATAGAGAACCAACCTCAACTCGCCCCCGTCCATCCAAATATACATGATCTAAATCGAAGAGGCTACGGCCTCGTGGCAACGGTGGTAGACGATCTGCGGCGAGCACGGTGAGCGCGAGCAGTTCATGCGCTTCGAGACCCCCATCGCGGACCTCGATTACCTAAAAAATTCGTATCTCTCTTTCGCTTCTCTCTCTCTCTCTCTCTCTCTCTCTCTCTCTCTCCCACCTCCGCGATGCTGATCTTCACATCGCCCATACCGCATTAAGCTCGGACTTTGAGCCCTGGAAATGGAAATTAGTATAATTCAAGGGTAGAAAAATCATTAAAAAATCAGAACTAATACGAACAAATACAACAAATAAGTGAGAATTAAACTTGAAAAAGCTCTAGCTAGCTAAAAATCATAAATCGAGATTTAAAAGGTACAAAAATACTCAGAAACTAACTAAAAAATGAGGGAAAAATTCTTTTAACGTCGTGAGAAATTGGGGCGCCATTCAAAATGAATTGCATGGCCATTATGCCATGAAAATATTGCATTTTCTGCAGGTGAGAGAAGGTGAAGAGACGGGGGGTTGGGAAATATAAGGCTGGTGCTAATCGATTTTGCGGGGGCCCGAAAAAACGCGGAATTTCCTTCGGCTGTCGACGCAATAGGGCCAAAAACAAATGCAAACAGCGAGGGGGGAGATTGGGGAGTCGCACAGCTGGGATTGGTGTGTTTTGGCATTAATTAGCATTTTGGTTGTTGAAAAATTCAGGAAATACGCCAAATATTTGAGGCCAGAGAGAGAGTGAGCGAGCGAGAGGGAGAGAGAGAGAGAGAGAGAGAGAGAGGGAGAGAGAAAGAGAGAAAAAAGACAATGCGAGCGAGAGATAAAGAGCGAGATAGAGCGAAAATGACAAAGAAAGACAACACGGGAATGGGAGAGCATCAGCGAGAGAGCGAATCAGTGCGAGAGAGAAAGAGTTAGAGAGAACGTGAGGGAGAGGGAGAGAGATAGAGGTAGGGAGAGGGGCAAGAACAAGTGAGCATCAGTGAGAGCGAGAAAAAGCAAACGAGTGAGTATCAGCGAGAGAGAGAGAGAGAGAGAGAGAGAGAGAGAGAGAGAGAGAGAGAGTAAGAAACCTACGAAGTAGCTAACGAGATAGTCAAAAAAGGGATCACGAGAGAGATATATGGAGTCAGAGCAAGAACATGGGGTATTAGAGAGAGAGAGAGAGTGAGAGAGAGAGTGAGAGAGAGGGAGAGGGAGAGAACGAGCGAGAGAGAGGGGAAAGAGCGAGAAACAGATAGAGAAATCCAGATTTGGGTGTGGCCGGAATGTTGGAATTCCGATTCCCCCTTTTGTCTTCCCCCCTGCAGAAACTCTGTGTGGCGATAACGTGGCGATCCAGGGGAAGTGCGGTCGATTGACTGCCTTCAGCCAGGGCAGAAATTCGATATTCTCACACATCTTTGCCCTTCCTACGGGGGTATCAAGCTTCCGAACTGCTCCTACTTACGTAAGAAGGGATTAAAGGGAAGGCAAGGGTTGGATTTCAATGTGATTTTCTCTGCCCGCCCGTGATTTTCAGCGAAACGCAACGCGCGTCCAGGCTTTCTAGTTTTTGGTTAGCAGGAAAGGTGTCAAAAATTGCACCAAGAAATACGCCAAATAGCACGAAAATTCGTTTTGGAAATAAGAAGTCGTACAACGGTAGAGCACGCAGCGGGGTGTCCTATTTTTGGCGCCCACCTTGCCTTGGCAATAAATTTACGACAAGATATTAAAAAAAGACGTAGGCCGCGGCAAGTCTCCGTCGCACTCTCTCTCTCTCTCTCTCTCTCTCTCTCTCTTTCCCGCGTACTCAGCCAAACACAAAAATAAATGGATTCCGGAATTTTTGAGGAGCCTTTTTGAGGCTGCGAAATTGAAAAATCAGGGTAAGGCTGGAAATTCGGAGTGGGACCAAAAAAGCTAGGCAGAAATTAATGAAAATACAGCAAAATCCATAGCCCTTTGCCTTCCCAATCCCTTTAATCGGGCCTAAAAAAGGAGACGGGCATAAATCTCGACGAAGGGCGAGGGGAGGAAGAGAGTAGAATGCTAGGAGGGTGGGGGACTGTTGTCAGAATGGGGTCACACGGTCGACGAGAGGGGAGGAAGCGAGTCGATTGTTGAAAGTGAGGATTACTGGTGGTTTTTTGGAGTTTCAACCCCGTTTAGAAAGGTTTAAGGGTATTTGTAGGGATTTTACCACAATTTTTGCCAAGAAAAGGAATCAGCGAAAACTAGAGAGAGAGAGAGAGAGAGAGAGAGAGAGAGAGAGAGATGACTAAAACATCAACATAAAAAAATTTGTAACAATTTTTTGCCAGATCTAATTATGTTTTAAGGGCTAAAAATGGGATTTTCCAACATTTTGCATCGTCTTTTCAAAATGTATTGACCTTTCACAAGAACTTTCTTGCATAAAACCAAAAAAAACCCTCTCAAAATAATGGTAGGAAATTGGCTTGGAAATTCTGGTGGTGGCGTGCCGTTTATTCCCATCGCTCGATTGGATGGGAAGGCGAATCGTATAAACAAAACGGGAGAGAGAGAGGGGAAGAGAGAGAGAGAGAGAGAGAGAGAGTGGAAAAGAGAGAGAAGGCAGAATCAAGGGAAACAGGCAATAAGCCGATTATTTCTGTCATTTTCGCGTCGTGAAAATGCAAGGGAAACCTGGAAAAGCATGGAATTTGTTTCCATAAACGTCTGTGTAAGAGCCGAATTAAATGTAAAAACAGGAAATTAAACATTTGGCCTACCATCAATTATTGAGAGTACACTACTTTACGCTACGTTACGCGTTCCTATCGCCACCTCTGGACGGCCGAATATGATTGATTTTCAAATTAATGCTAGTTCAGTTGAATGCTATTTTGAATTATTTAACGCCGGTGGGCATTGATTTTGGCCGTTTAGCGAGCCGCCCAAATTCTTCACCGCAAAAAACCGGTTCCCGCCAGCCGCACGAGGCGATGGATTGATGGACGGGGTGGGGGGTGGGGGTGGATTGGATCTGTGGATGCCAAGTTTGGGAAATGACCAACAAATAAATAGTAGTCCAGTTCAGTTGAGCCGAACAAGCTAAACCAAAGCCGACGTCGAAGCCTAAGCCCAAGCCTAGCCTCGTTAACCGGAGACTTCGTTTTTTTTCGGGCCCGATGCGAAATAAAAAGCACAAATTTCTTAGCTGAGCCTAAGCCTAAGCCAAAGCTCCAGATTAAAGTCTAAGCCTAAGCACATTAACAATATTTATAAGATCAGATCTAATAAGGCTTAATTTACAGCTTGTACTATTTGAAGCACGTATTTTACCAAATTATCTTTTAACCAGCGCCCAAAACCCGCTTCGCGGGCCTTGGGCGCTGGAATGTGGCCTTTGCATGAGAAATTTGCCTTCCCGATAGACCCTCCCCCCGTCCGACCACACGCGCGCGTGCAACTTGCAAGAATGAGGAAATTTGTATTTTCTCACATTATGCAAATTAGCCCTCAGGGACCTCAAAAATGAGTAAAACCGGCTTTAACTTTGTAAACTTGTATTTTATCAAAATTCTGAGCACGCGATCGGAAACAGAAGGGTCGATTCCCCCGGGTGACGGAGAATTGGGACGTTTTATGCACGGGAAGGCCCCCAAATCGGGTATCGAAACTGACATCCACACACACACAAAGATACACGCCAAAATTATATAAGGTAGGAATTCAAGGAAAAATATACATAACCGTGAAAAACCAAAATTCTGAAGAAATTAAAAGGATTTTGGAGATCTGAGATCACAGGTCTCCGCCAGATTGATCAAAAAATTCGTGGCACCGGTATTTCGATAGGCATCTCTAGTTCGATTTTAATAGGATGAATAGGCTGAAAAGCATGAAGAATTTCTTATCTAGAGGCATGGAACACCCCCACCCCATTTGCCAGCTCATCGCTTTTGTTTATTCCTTGCTGGCCCCGGGTGGGGGAGGCCGAGTCATAAATGGGGATGTTATCGAGCGCGACCGTGGGGAATTTGAGGTATAATAAGTCGAATTGAAAGTTAAGGTAAAACTGGTGAATATTGGAACTGCAAAATATTTGGAAAATTAAAATTATAAAAATTCAGATTCGACGAGTTTTAAAAACATCTGCTTTCAAAATATCGTCTCTTCAAAGGGTGGATTCTGTAATCTAGATAGATAGCGAGAGCGAGAGCGAGAGCGAGAGAGAGAGAGAGAGTACGAGAAGGAAGAGAGAGCGTGAGAGAGCGTGAGCGAGAGAGATACCTAGAAAAGAAACGATAATTTTTCTAAATTTGATCGGTAACTACTAACTCCAATCAGTACCGAAAACGGCGCACAGTTTAGGTGTTAGGCCGCCGCCGGGTGTTGGTCGGAATGCGGCGGGTGTGGGGGATATTTGCATGAGCTGTCACAGACAGGCGACCACTCTCTCCTTTCTCTCTCTCTCTCTCTCTCTCTCTCTCTCTCTCTCTCTCACTTCCCGATCCATCGATCAGATGGGCGTGCGTGTGTTTGGGGGGAATGACTGTCCATTCGTACCGGTCATCGAGAATGCACACCATGAGAGGGTTTCGAGGCATTGAATTTTGAGTAAAAAGTTCAGAAAAATATGATTAAGGAACCAACAAGTTTATATAAGCTCCTTTTATTGCGCTGATACTAATCCCTATACAAAAAAATTCTAGACATCCAAAAAACTTGGCTTTTCGACATTTTCAGCAAGGAACAGGTTAGAATGTAAAGTTTTGTCTGTTTTTCAGGCTTTAAAATAATATTATGGCTTGAATCACCGCCTTGCAAGCCTCGAAAAATATAGAAAAAAACGACAGGATGCAGGAAAACATTTGAATTTTAAAAAAAACTTGAAAACTAAGGCGAAATTCGCTCAAAAAGATTACAAACTTTAGTTGCTTAGGAGTTTTTTGCTGGAATTTTGTATATATGCTTAAATGACAAAAAGTAGAAATAGGTTCACACAAATTCCTAGCTCAAAATACTGTAAACTCGACGAGTTACCACGAAAATAGTGTTTATTCAATGGGCTGGGAATCACCTGGCTAAAGCAAACAAATAGTCGTAGAATCCTCAAATTCACCTAGATTCTTTGCAAAAGCGAAACTGGCCATTAATTTATGCAAAAATGGCCCGAGTGCACGCCGAGAGTAAGCCGAAAATAGGCATGCGGGCGGGCAGGTGTGGGGGATAGAAGGGCTGGCTGCTACCTGTCCCTCTCTCTCTCTCGCTCTCTCTCTCTCTCTCTCTCTCTCGCTCTCGCTCTCTCTCGCTGTAGGTGGGTGCCCTTTTTAGAGGGCGAATGGATCAATCGATGGCCTGGCTGCGGGGAGGAATGGTCAGCCGGCCAAGATTATAAGGGTCAACTAGCCGAGACCCTTTGAGGACATGTGGGATGGGGGCCCTCGACACCGGGCTGCCAATAGGGAAGTTAGAGCCTCGCACTTTGTCTGACGCTCTCTCTCTCTCTCTCTCTCTCTCTCGCTTTCTCGCTCTCTCAATGTCTCTCTCGCTTGCACTCTCCAACCATCTCTCGTTTTAAAGGGGCAATGACACGTTTAAAGGAACATCCCGCATGTATGAAGAGAGAGGGATAGAGAGAGAGCGAGAGAGATGGTGAGAGATAGAGAGACATCATAAGAAAATAGAGAAGCGCAAAGAGATCGAGAGAGAAATATCGTGATAGATAGATAGAGAGAGAGAGCGGGAGAGAGAGCTCCCTAAGCTCCAGAAAGAAAGAATTGACAAGTTTTTGAACGTGTCACCATGCCTTTAACCGCAGTAAGCCATTCCCCAGCTGAAGGCCATCCAGATTTCCGATACCTATTCGTTCCAACCCCTCTCCCCTCCCCCCGTATCCACCGTTACGGGCCAATGGATAACAGGGCGAATGACCATTCAATTGATGGCGGTATGTCCGTGGGCGGGTGATGGGGCAATTATCGACGCCCCCCAAGGTAACCCCACGATTTGCGAAGCAGAATGCTGGGAGAATTTGGAATTTCGCACGGAAGTTGAGCTGGCCACTGAAATGTTCCCTTTGAAAGCAATGCGAGCCCAGAAAGGCCAATCGTCCCTGAACTCCTTGAACATGCTGAAGCTTGGGGAGCTTTCTTCAGAAGCCATTAGCTGGCTTGAAAAGACTCGCGGAAAAAAAGGTGAATGGATGGGTTCGGCCGGGTACCGTCAGCAGGAGCACAGCGGGGGTCGGAAAAAGTTGTCGGCACTTTCAGGGGGAGAAGACGATAGGTTGCTGGATTTCGGGAAGGGACTACGCTACGCTACTTGGGACACTCTCTAAAAACTAATTAATATCGAGAAAGAGCGGGAGAGAGAGAGAGAGAGAGAGTGAGTGAGAGATAGAGAGAGCGAGAGAAGCAGAGACAGAAGGAAAGAGAGTGCGCGATGGAGAGCGTACGAGAGACAGAGTGCTGCATCATTCTAAGGAACCCAAGCCCTGGCACGGAGCCAAAAATACATTGACCCCAGGCTTCATCGCAGCGCTACAGTCCCCCCTTTAGGATCGATGAGGGGCCCCCGATGAAGACAAAAGTCGCACACGTCCCCCTCCACAGACCATCTCCACTGTGCTTAGGTGTTTGTTGTGGAAGGGGAGGGGCAGAGAAGCAGAGAACGCGAGACAGAGAGAGCGAGCGAATGAGAGAGCCAGAGAGAGCAAGGAACTCACCCCCGGGGGGCCCTCGTGGCGATGACATTTCGGACAAACATTCATTCCCCCACCTCGGAGGGGGCCTTCCGCCCTCCGACCAACCACTTTCGCTCCTATCACGATCTGGGCCAGGTGGGGGAGAGGTGTGTTTTCGAGGGCATTTTCAGGGAAATCGGAAACAGGCATGGTTTTAAAAGGATTAGGAATTGTGGTAATCGCCTCCTTGGGTTGGCTGGTTCTCGACACTGACCCAGAGTCTTCATTTCACACTAATTGACAAATTGTATGACATGTAATTCGGAAAGCCGAAATCGTTCTCTCTCCCTTTCTCTCTCGCGCTCTCTCCTTCTCTCTCCCGCCCGCAATCTGATTACTCCGAAAAACATGCGTGTGTAAATAGACGCCCAGTCGCCCCACCGCATCGTCCGGAAATCGAAAACCAAAAAATACAATTTATTTCGCAACCATCACCCCAAAATCGCATGTAATTGATGGGTGGCCGAGGGGAAAATCTTGGTATTCCTTTGCTTGTAGCTTGTGGCTGTAGAGATGACCACCTTCAGCGAGGCGTTAGAAACAAAGCCCATGTACTGGGCATCCAGTTGGAAGTCGCCGGAAGCCAATAGGGATACCGCCTGAAAAGTGGTTATGCGTTGATAGAAGCAACACATCAAGCAGGATCGATAGTTTTTCTTGTACATACAAAACCCGCGATATTACCTTGTACTTGGCGATGATGTGGGCCACCCTGGAGGGGTCGGGGTAGTCGATGATACCCTCGAACTAAAAAGTGTACTACGATCAGCACTACCGTGGCCCAGGCTTACGATAATAGGCGGTAGGCCTCTGTGTAGAATGGCGAAATAGGCGGCCAACCCAAAATGCGAGCACAGATCGCCAAGGCAGAGGTGGCCAGCGTGCTGCAAAATTTGGGTTGCGCGGCGGACCCGTTGCGTGTCAATTCGGTGGTCCTGCCAGAGGCACGCAACGCGTCAAGGAACGGACCTGGAGCGCGGAGATGCCCGCTGCTGGCTTTAGATCTTTGCCCAACTCCAGAACGTCTTGTAGAAGCTGGCTGACGGTAAGTGGAGCAAGCTTTGGGTGTTCGGCCCTGGAAAGGGGCTAGAGCGATAGAGAGAGAGAGAGAGAGAGAGAGAGAGAGAGAGAACGAATTAAAAACGGCTAACCATTTGACAAACTCGCAGACGACCTGATCAACAGCACAAGGTTCGGGGCTGAAGTCATCGCTCTGCTTCACAAACTCATCGCTCCAATCGTAGTCGCGGCCCTCTTTCATTGACACCTGAAAAAATGGGAGGAAATTGTGTTAGGAATCAGCCAAAATTCTTAAGAATTTACGCTAGATATACGATTCGGCACGAAAAACTGCTAGCCAGCGCTATTTTCGTAAAGATCTGAAAAACTTCGCGTCTGCCAGAAGATTCCGCTCGTAAACAAAGAGTGAATCCGTCAAATTTCTGTCTATCTCCAGCAAATACCTCAATTTTATAATACGGCCTCCGCGCGGGGATGTGTTTCTCTGGCGGGGGCATCCCTGGGTTCGGGCCGACGTGGCGAAGCACAACGACCTCGATCGGAACCTAGAAATATTCCAACCCCTCTAAAAACCCACAACCTTCTGCCCCAGCGTCTCGTCAATCGTCGCCTTCAGCTCAAACAGCTGATCGCCTTGCCAAAAGGCGTCCACGCAGATGAGCAGCTTCGGCTCGACCACCTCTAGGATTTTAGCGAGCTGCCGTGGCGACTCGGTGCCTTTCTAAAAAGTGCTCTAATACCCCGGTTTCGTTTTCCTAGATGTCTTTGTGTTTTTTAGAAGGTCCCTCGGCCAGAAAACTCACAATAAGCGTGCAGACGGCTCCCACCGAGGCAGCGGCCATGACGATTAGCGGACCCTGGACCATGTTTGGCATGGCAACAAGCAGCCTATCTCCCTAGGGGGTCAACGGTAGTAATCAAAGGCGCAAAGATATTCCCTTGAAAAGCTTACCTTGCCTATCCCTCGACTCCTCAACATGTTGCCAATCTTCCGGAAAAGCAGCGCCGCCGTGCTCCATTCCACCTCGGCGCAGTCGTGCACATTCTCGTCCCAGTAGTTGCCCTCCCTTCACAAGAAGCTTTTTTAAAACGGGAACTTGGCAGAAAAGTTCTGCCTAAAAGCCAGTGAGCCTTTTGAACACGTTTTTTTACGACGCAGCAACTGACCAGTAGATGGCCGTCTCGAACTCGGCCCTATTCGATACGTGCTTCCCCAACAATTCCTCGAATAGCTGAATTCGGCCCTAAACGGTGTTGAAAAAAGGAAAAAGTAAGACTGCCATACCCCGGTCGGCTGCCCGGAATTCTGGGCGAACGGTTCGTCCCAAACGAAATTTTCCGCGATACGCGCAATCCGATGGTCGGCCATTTGTGACTGGCGACGCTGGCCCGACGGGCCCTTCGATCCATCCCCGCCAAATTAGCCTCAATTCCGTAGCCACCCCCCTTGGGGCCAAATCGTCAGGCACGACCCCAGATGCCATCCCCGGCCGATCAAAAAATCAAGCACGTATTCTGTATTCTAGCAGCGAAAAAACACTTATTTATCGGCGGTAAAAGGGTTGATTGTACACAGCAAGTAACCTCCCAGCTGTGTAGGGGTTCAAGGAAAAGGATAAAACATTCAACTAGAATAAAATTCGGGGGGACATTTGAGACACCGGAGGGCAACTAGTGCACAAGGGAAAGGCAACGGTATGGTGATTAGCGTTTAGAGGGTGTGGGGAACAAAAGAACAAACACACAATGCGGGGGACAACCCGTAAAGCTTACAGCCGTGTCAAAGCCAGAAATGTACATTTGGCGGTTGATAGTTGGGTAGTGTAATTGGGACAACAGCAAGCCGTTTTCAGTTGAGGTGGAAGCCCTTCTCGTTGATGGCCGTCAGAAGACGTTCACTAGAAAAAAAAGAAAAGGTTATGGTTAAGGGAAGGGACTAACCGAAGAATTTCAGCAGTGGAATAATCCGGCAACTTCAGGTAGTGCACGCAAGTGTTGACCGATGGATAGCTGCCGTCACCGCTCTCGACCTTCCGAACCACGGTCAGCCGTGGGTGCAGGTTGGCCAAGCCACCTAAAAATCGAAATCAAAATCGAATCACCCGTTATTACAAAATTTATCCCGTCAATTGTAAAAATTTCCATACCAGGTGGCAGACTGCTGCATCCCGTAGCAAATTGCAAGAAGTTCTTCCTTTCGGCAGGCGTCAGGGCGTCCATGACATCGACGAATTTCAGGAAACCGGGCGAGTCGCGGGTGTAGCCGAGCTTGGGCTCGGTGTAGTTGAGGATATCGTCGCGGTTCCACACCGGACTTTGTTCACCAGAGATGAGGCACTAAAGAACATTACGGAACTTCACTAGGGCCAAACCTGGACTTCCTCCGGCGTGAATGAGCGCAACGAGCGAAGCGGGAAGACGCGGTCGAATCCTTCACGGAAAGCACGTACCTGAAAAGGCTGGTAACAGAAAATGACACTCAAGCTACCTGCTCGACGATGCCGGAGTTGAGATAGTAGTCGGAGCACTTCTCTACGTAGAGCTCGACGTTCTCCATCGTCACGTCCATGTCCGCTCCACCCTCGATCAGTTCCATCTCCTTGTATTGGAACACAGCCGATGGTGGGTTCACAGTGAAGTTGAGTCCAAGATCGTCGATCTGGAAAAACATTCGTTTGATATGCCAAAACTAATAAAACCTTGCAACGGGCGCCGCCAATATTCAACATCAGCTCGTCGTAGCGTCGGCGCTTGGCAATTGTGTCGATGGTATCGTCAGACTCGAGGGCCCGCTTGCGCGCAGCCAAAGACGACAGCTCTTTCAGGAAACGGCCTGAACAAAAAGTGAAAGCAGAAGTTAGGATTTACCTTTAATTGGGTGGACAAGCTCAAAGTCGTCGAGCGTCAAGACGCCGTCCAAATCGGCGATTGTGGCACGGGTGCTGACCTTCGGGTGGATGACCAATTTCAGGAATGATGGGGAGAGCGGAATGTCGACGAGACGTCCATCTTGCAAAACCTTGGCCATGAAGATGCCGAGAACACGGAAGAGTTCATTTGCACGACGGCGCTGCTCGGTGTTTGGTGGCAGAGGAGCGGGGAAAAGGCCGCCAGCGCGACGGACGTAAAAGCCGGGCGGCTTCTTGCCCTCGCCGAGATCGAGCTCTTTTTCCTAAAAAACCATTTTAATAATTTTCCATTGCACACCTCAAGCTTCAGCTGCGTCTCATCCAGGTCATCGCACCACCAGATCGCCAGAGCTTTGCGCTGCATTTCGGCCGAAATCAGGGCGTAGAATTCGAGGGTAGGGCCAAGTCCTGTTCCTTCTTCTCCATTGTACTCAATCTCCAGCACGGCCTTGTTGCTGCAGTGGAAACGGAACAAGCGAATAGCCTGTTCAAGCAGCTCGTCTTCAGCGCGGGTGACCTAAACAACTGTTTGGGTCGAGACTGGAAATCATACCTTGATGCGCTCGTGCTTCAGGCGGCCAACACGATATTCGTAGGCATCTTCGCGACGCACGGCAGATGAAGGGTTGGGCGTTCCGGCTCCTGTGCCACGCGAACGCTCAAGGGCAGCGTCGCGACGAGATTGGATCCAGACGATCGAACGAGCGACGCCGAAGGCTGTGGCGCCCATGTACATATTCCTATAAAGAAAATTAATTGGTAAAATTATCAGTCGCACCTGGTATCCATCGTGAACAGACACGGATGCGAATAAACGAGTCGCTCGCACCAATCCGGCATCGAACGAGCGGCCACCACCAGCGGATCCGAGAGTTCTTGCAGCAACTTCTGCGACAGCTTGTCGGAGATGAAGACGTTGGAAGGCAGTTCCGATTCGGGCAGAGTGGCGCCAACTTTGGCCAAAAGATTGAGGGCGTCCAGAGTTTGGTTCACGATGTCGGGCACTTTGCTATCTTCCGATGGCAGCGCCAACGCATCGATGTTTGTGGCGGCCGATGCATCCTCGTATATCAATGTGTAGACCGGATCGAAGATTCTGCGATTCCGATCGCCCTTCTACAAAAAAACAAATTGAAAGTTGCGAGGTGATCGTTTACCTGTTGCCATTCCACATTGTTCGTGAGCTTTTGGATACATTTGAATAGGGAATGATCGTCATTGTCCATCTCGAAGGTGATGTTCTCGATTCCGGGCATGTTGGGTCCACGAAGGAAGAGACGAATTTTGGCTTCCGAAGTCTAAGACAGTTTGAAAGAAAGCATGTAAAAACGTACATTCTTTGGCTGGGCATTCGAGGCGGCGGTGGGCTCCGAAATTGTCGCAGGCAGCTCGACTTCTTGCGTCTGGTTGATGTTGGTGCGGCCGGGGCGGGGGTCGAAAGCGGGGATCAGGGCCTAAAAATATTCGTTAGATATAGACATTTCAAAAACCTGGAACTGGCACTTCAGCACAAATTCGTCATCCCATTGGCGAAGGTTAGCCGAACGAGTACGAGCGCCCTGGTCGAACAGGCGGTGCGGGTCGGCCATAAGAAGCTGCGACATGTTGCGCAAGCTGACTCGACCGTCGCCGCTGAGGCGCCCCAGCACCTGGGCCAACGAATCGGGCAGGATGTTGTAGGGCAGCTCATCGTCCATCAGGTCTTCCTCGTTCGCTTCGTCATCGAAAATATCTTCCTCCATATCCTCGACATCCATGGCCGAGGTCGGGTCCATCATCTAAAACACAATACTATAAAATCCAAAAACGATGTTGAACCTGCTGCATCATGGACTTGATCACATCGGCGTATCCCTTGATCGACTTTGACACCGAGGTGCCAACTTTTCGGCTTCCGGCCGGCTTGACATGGATCGCCTGTGTGCTGGGCGGGCCCAGGCCGCTGATGAGCTGCTCGATGGAATCTTCTAAAACACGGAAATCAACGGGCACTAGACTCGATCGACGGGTTCTATCGTGCGATACGACCAAACGCAAGATGGTGCCACAGAACGGAAAAACTTCACAACGCGGCACGACACTTGGCGTCGCATGCACGACACTAACCCATTCCGATCACATCGCGAAGTCTCTCAATAATCCCGCGCTCTTGGCTGATAGTCGCATTAGTATTGGCCGTGGACGAGCCTGCGGGCACGGCGAGAGCCGCCTGGCCCACTTTCCCCTCTCCCTCCAATTCTGCCAGCAATTGGGAAAAGCTGACGTCCTCATCCCTCTTCTCACCTCTAAAAGCACGGTTTTCATTGGGAAAAGAAAAGCGGTCTGACCTATCATCGTTGTCGGGCTCCGTGTCCTCCTCCTCATCTTCGTCTTCCATGTCATCGTCTTCAGGTTCTTCCTCGTCGTTCTCTTCATCCTCCTCGCCGTCACCTTCCGTATCTTGGTCCTCCTGAGTGACATCCGAAGCAGCCTCCGTCGATTGAGCTCGCTCACGAGCCGACGCCAAATCCGGGGTGGATAAGGACAACGCCTCGACACCCTAAAAACTAGATAAGAATTCAACCAAAAACGCACCTCCGGTACAGCAGCTGAAGCCGTAGCAGCATCGGATGAACCAGTCGCCGGCTGGTTGGTGTTCAATGTCGGCTGGGAAGAACTGGGGCCATGCTGATCTTCGGGTGTTTCGCGTCCTTCGGCCGTTTCGTTGCGCTCGACAATAGTGCGATCAATCAAGATACGCGACCTAAAAGAAATGTATTATCGAGGACGCCAACGATAACTAAAGAAATTGATAAAAAGCACTTACTTTTCGAGCAGATTCTCGAGGCTGGGTGTTTGATGCTGGAGGCTTTCTGCCGAAGCGGCTTGTCCAGTGGCAGCAACAGTAACTGCGGAGCTTCCAGCGCCACGTTGACGTTCATCATTCAAGTTCGTCGTCGACATAGACTTTTGGCCTACACAAAAAAGGTTTTGTAATTCATTGAAAGCATACCAATAGCTGAAGTTGGAGGCGTGACGGTTGGACGAGCGACTTGGTGCGGGTGAACGGGTCGTTTGCTGACGCGAGCCGATTTGCCTCTGGAGGCGAAGCCGAAAAGGGCGCCGAACGGGGAGGGAGCAGCCGGTAGCGTGGAAGCGCTGGGCAGCTCTGCGCGTCTCGACGGAATCATGGCCTAAACCAAGAATGAACGTAAATTAAGACCGCTGACCAAGAATGGCGACGTGTCAATGGCAGTCTTGGCAACCCGGGTGATGTCGAAAAGGCCATCGTAGCCGTAACGGTAGCTGTTCTTATAGCCGGTAGCATCCCAGAGCACGTCAACCCATCCTGGAAACATTACGTTTATTGAAACGATTTCAGTGATAGAAACAGAACCAGTTTTATTGGATGAAACGAACCATTTTCATTTTGAGAGATCACGTGGCCTTCACCGCCGTTGTCCTGCTCGTCCCACATCCAGTCAGGCCCACGTTTTACTAACATGCCACGCAGATCGGCGGCTTGCTGGCGCCAAAGCCGATGTAGCTGTCGTTTGCTTTCCCTGAAAAAACATAAACGCAAAATAGAAGACACAAACCCTTTCTTCAGCGACTTCAGAACTTGTTCGTGCGTCATCCCAGCCTTGTAGCGGTTGTTGTCGGGTCCTTGAGGCAACGAGCGTGAAGTGGTGTCGCTTGAGCTTGTTGACGGCCCGGGCTCGTCCTGACCTCCCTTTGTTCTCTTCGTCATGATGGCCTCGCGTAGGGACATCGCCTTGGGGATCTTGGAGCTGGCCGGCGTCATTTTTTCCTAAGTCCAGGTAAAAAGAAATAAGATGAACGAACCTTTTCTTCGGTTTTGAAGTTTTCAACCACAACGTCGACGATCTTCCCGTACAGCTCGAAACCGGATAGGGAGAGGTAGCAGGTTTGTCCCGAGGCGTTCTTGCCATTCTGAGCAATGCGGAAGTAACGGTATGGCCCTAAAGTTTGGCGTGATATATGAAATTGATAGAAACCTTTGTTCGGCTCAACTGGCCAGGTGGCAGTGGACCCTGGGTCATTCAGCGAGTTGTCATCGGAGTGGGCGACCAGCACTTCCCAGACCTGGTTGTCACGAGAGCCCTACAAAGACACCGTTAAAAACCCACGAGAAAGGTTACTTGGAATAGCCAGTTGCGGAGGGCGCTGCGTCCGTAGCCGCGAGCATGACGAAGTGTGTAGCTTGCCGGGACGATTGAGCACCCGGTGTCGATCGTGAAGTTGCTGTTCTTGTCGTCGCTGCTGTGGCAGTTGATCGGGTTCACATCACGGCTGAGCACGTCTTCGGGGCGTCCAAAGGGTTGCTTCGGGGTATCGGAGCAGGTCACCTAGGATAATGTACACCAAAATATGGGAAGCCAACCTTGACGACGCCGATCGAGGCCGGGTTGATCCATTCAGCCAGTTTTCCATTTGTGCCGAGCCAGAACATGATGCCTTGGTCGTCAAAGTCGCTGGAGTACGTGCACGTAATTTCCTTCTGCTCCTTGATCTGCTTGACGAAATTGTAGCTGTCGCGTTCGCGGTCATACCTAAACACAAAACTTTTGATTGCTAAACGGAAGCCTTACCATTGCTTGGCCACCATTCGTAGCAAGAAATTCTTCAGCTGCCCAACCGACGTCAGCGGCTCACTTTTGAAAGAGCGATTCGTGCTGAAAAAAATCAATATAGGCAAAGCATCGCAAAATACCGGTTCAACAGGTGCTTCTGCGCTTCTGTGTCAGCACCGGCCAATTCGAGCTTGAGACGGAACCGCTTGCTGAGCATTTGAAGGCCAAAGGCAGAGCCGCCCGGGAGATCGTAGAGGAATTGTGGGAACTTCTCGGCCGATTCGAGGATGAGGACCATTTTGCGGACCAAGGTCGCCAGCGACGAGCCATTCCCGAAGGTCTCACGGAAGATGAAGGCCGGATAGCTAGTAGGCTTCGCCTCGGCTACGCTGAGCAGTCCAACGAGGGTAGGGACAAGGCCGGAAATTGACAGCTCGAAGGTGGACAGCCGGCGGTCGTCCAGTACACAGTCCTTGATGCAGTTCATCGCTTGCGTGACACTGTTCAGCTTGCTGATGTCTTTCTTGTTCGCCTTGGTGTTTTTGACGAATTCCTAGGAAGAAAATGTGAGTGTTAGTTTTAAGCAAACCTGAATGCAAGATGTAGCCTCCTTCAGGTGGACGAGGGCATCCCTGGGCTTCGCTTGCGCATCTTTCAGGTGTTTGTCCCAGACCTCCCAAGCCAGCTCTTGGACACGTTTGCGCTGCATTTCGGCACGGAACTTGAGGCGACGAGGGCCAACTCCATGGAGAGACCAGCCTAAACGCGATTATTGCTACAAAATAATGCCATACCTGTGCTGAAGTCGTGCGAAAGCACACATTCTGGACTGATGGTCACTTTTTCGAGACCTTCGAACGTGAAACTAAAAGAATTGCTATATGACGTGGGAAAAATGCTCACCCTCCGAGGTCGTCTTTGATCACAACACCGCCAAGGTCCACTTCCGCGTTTGTCGATCGCACCGTCAATTCGGCATTTCGGAAACAGCCGATCTCCCATCCGCTCACTGTGGCCTTCCGGAAAAAGTTGGGGATTTGCAAGAGCGATGTAGGCACGCCGTCTCCACATTCGGCAGTAGCACGTCGCCATCTAGAAAGCGTTACAAACATAAAATGGTTTAAATACCTCGTGACAAAATTCTTCCTGGCCTCCAGTTCGTTGTTCGCTACTTGGCTCGTTCCGTTGCTGAACATCACCGAGAAGTGACCGTCGGCAAAGTAGCGGATCCAACCGTTGGAATTCAACCTGAACAGGATAAATGAATCTAGAGGCTATCTTACGGGAACTCGATCGCCAGCATGTCGGCCCAGATGTAAAGGCTGTCGTTGTCGCGGACCAGCCGCCATTCCTTCCAGCGGTAGAGGACGCCAATCTAAAAGCTTTTTGTGACCAAAATAGCTAAAATACCTCCACTTCCTTCGAAGTCTCACGATCCCGAACGATCGGCTCCGTGGCGAGGGTGGCCACTTCCACAGTAGGCGGTGGGGTTTGGGTCGATGTGAGGTCATCCTAAAAAGAGTTTCTAGGGAAAAAATGCAAAATTACCCCAACAGGCACATTCAGCATTTGCGCGCGCTCACGGTCGACGGCGCTGGGCGTGGCTCGATCGCCATCAGACTCGGCAGGCACAGAGGGAGTAGAAGACGCCGATCTAAGCAATGGTAGAGAAATTTTATGTAAAATGTACCTGTTCATCGTGTTGTTGAGCACATTGATCTCTTCGTTCGATTCCCGTTCACCAGAGACAATGTTCGCGCAAGCAGACGCCGATGGCACTGACGGCTCCTTTGCCATCGATTCCACTTTCTCGAAGACGCCGAGTCGCACCAGTTCTTCGACCCAGAACGAGCTTTCCTTCTGCAGCAGCGAAGACATTATCATGAGCACCTGCTCTTGCGATTCGACATCATCATCCTGCTCCAAGACACTGACAAGCACGGCAACGACGGCTTCAGAAAACGCTCGGGCTTGGTCAGCTTCTGCCTCGTCCGCGGCCTTGGAGAAAATGCAGTGCAGGTGGTCGCTGGCCATATGCTGGATGCATTTGCGCAGAAGCGAAAGGGACGATCTTCGGATTCCGTTGTTCAGCGATTTCTGGAAGATTTCACAGAAAATCGGTACAAGCTTTTTCAGCAACCGGGCCGCGAGCAGGGTGTCGGGCGTCTCCACGGCTTGGCGTGAGGTGCTTGCATCTGTGGCAGCTTCTTCGGCTTTTGGAATAGGCGCGTGCATATAAACCGACGGGCTCTCGAGGATAGTAGCAACCTGGCCATGGTCTTCATCGTTGCGCTCACGAGCTTTGTCAAGTGCGGTTTTGCCGTCTTCATCCCGGAGATCCGGGTTTGCGCCACGCTGCAGCAGCACCTTCACGACGTCAGGCCTCCCGAAGCAAGCAGCGTAATGGAGCGAGCTGCTCTTGCTTCCCTTGTTCACGTCGGCGCCGCGGTCGCATAGGAAATTGACCATCTCGATCGAGCCAAAAGCGGCAGCCCAGTTCAATAACGACTGGCCAACATCATCCGTATAGTTGGCGTCGACAGTTCCGCTTTCAATGGCCTCGACGAGGGCGTGCGTGTCCTTCTGCCGGATTGCGTCAATGAGGTGGCGAGCACGGTCACCGGCACCCGTTCCTCCGACAGCACCGGATTCCGCGACCGGACAGTTTTTCGGCAAGGAATTCCGGCCCTCACATAGCAGGACCACCAGAAGATCGGCGACGCGAAGGCCGTCTGTAACCGTGCGCTCGTCCTTTCCAGTAAGTACGGCGAATAAGGCGTCCGTCAGGAGGTTATTGTTGAATACTTGGTGTGTAATCTCCGGACTCCCTCTGCACAGGTTGCTGATCAGCGACAGGACTATGCTGTTGAAGACGGTCGTTGCACTTTCGGACGCGCACAGTGATTTGAGCAGATAGTCGACCAAGTTGCTGTGTTTGGCCAAATCGATCGGGTCCATGCTTTTCCTGATGAATCGATCGGCCAGGGCGGCGAAGCAACGGAGCGCGCTCTCCGAAACCTTGGCGTCTTCGTGATCAAGTAGCGCTCCGAGACTCTCTGCGCACTGGGGCAGTGCAGTTTCGTTGGGCTCCATCTTGCCGCAGAGGCGGGTGACGACTGACATTGCAGAGTGCATCGTGTCCTTGTGAATCTGAGCGCCATGTTGACGCACGAGGTTGAGCATCGCATGAATTCCGCCAGCGTCGTAGACAGCCAAGGTTTCGCGTTGGCACACGTGTTCGAGTAGTTTCACGCACTGTTCGGCCAGATCCTTGCTGCCGCGATCACTCATCTCTGCGGCGGCCAGCCGATTGCAGATGGCTTTGACAGCGCCTTCGACCTAAGAAATAGGATTAGTTTTTCAACCCGATCATACCTGTGTGATACGCCGTGTACACTCATTCGACACATCGAGGTAATAAGTGATGGCGCGAGCTGTGACCTAAAAGCAAAACTAAATTAATTCCAAGAATTTATACCTCCAAGACTGTATCGGGCGCAGTCTCGTCGAGAAAAATCTTGCACAATGCCGGTAGAAAGGTGCGAGGTGGACAACTTTCGAAGCACCGATCTATGTTGTCTGACATCAGCAGCAGCATGCAGAGCTGTTCGAGGGCCATCAACTAAAAGAAAGGTTTAATTAAACGGTTAGAAAGTACCTGTAGATCTCGATCATCTCCATTACCCGTCTGAAGCCATTCTAGCAGAGTTTCCGGGTCGATTCCGTCCATGATGGTACGGAAAGAATCGGCTTAAAACTGAAAAAGCTCAATTATGGCAAGTCTTTAGGCTAAAAACGAGAGAAAATGGAAAATAAATAGCTGGAAGGTAAGAGGCAAAAATCGTGGAGCAACTCTACGACTGATGATGGAGCAAATCGTCTACGAACATTTGGGAAAAAATCTATTACGAAAGGCATCATTATATTCACAGAGATGATCGTGACGCGAAATTTGGGACCTTTTTCGCCAAGGAATTCATTAGAAATTTCTTGTTTTTGCCGTAGGGGTGAAAGTTGCGTAGTACAATGTAAATAAGGCGCGCGACCTAGGTGCGGGAAATCGATAATGTTTCCCTCCCCCGGATGAAGACGGAGAGAGTTCAACAAAAAAAATCAGCTGGTACGAGAGGCGAGTGGGCCAGAGCTGAGAGGCAACTGGCTGCGATCGACCCATGCCAGAGAGGCAGAGGAATCGCGAGGAAAGGGGGCAGATGTGCCCCAAATAAAAAAAAGCAGCATTCTATTTTGATAACAGAAACTTTCACAGAATAATGTGTTTAATTAGTTTAATGATTACTCCAATACAGACAATAACAATTTATTCAACATATGTTGCACGCACAGAAAAAAAAATGAGGACGGGGGGGGGGGTCTCGAGGTCGGGACAGAATCGAGCTTTCATCTTTTTGTGGGGCCGCGGACTAGATTTCGGCGCCCTTAATAATAGTGAAGCTCAGCCTTTCCACGAATATCGCGATTCCGGAAAATCTCGTCAGCAAGATACATAATTTTCTGCGGCGAGCCCGCACACTTTATCGGGCCGGCCGGGAAAGTAAACAGCGCTTGAAAGCCTCAATTTCTCGGTTAGTTTTCTCTGCAAAATGCGGTAGATAAATGCTGCACACACCGCTGCCCTCCAGCGATAGCGCTTCCGGCAATCCTTTTATCAAATCATGCCGAAATTCGCCGAAATGCGTCTCGTAACCCCTTACTACCTATTTCGGACCGCGCGCCCTTGACTGCATTAGTACCAACGATGTCATTTTGCCGAGACCTTCAATTGTGTACTAACTCGATCCCATCCTGTTCCTCTTGATGGTTGGGTTGTTGAGCACGCACTGGTGGGAGGGGCCGAGCATTTAAATCACAAAAAACGGTAATGAGTGCAATAACTATCGATCCAAATAACGCGATTACAAACGGAAACCAGAAGTCAACATCCAACGGGCAATCTTTACAATTGCTAGTCCTCCACAAATAAAATTCTTTCGCCGCTTCGGCCGTTTTCACCATCGTTAAGGATGTCCCACCACCTAGTAGATGAGACCATTGCAGAGCACTCACTGGGCTGGAACAATCAAATCAAAAAATTACCGAAAAATGGAATTTTGGTCAAAGTTTACGCGTTTAGGAATAGTAAAAAACCCGCTAGAAAAATTTAAAAATTTGGTGCCAAAGCAAAATGTCTTCCCCCGATAATGCAAAAGATCTGAGGAGTTCTAGACGCATAAAATTGAAGATCACGGGACATCCAACTGTTTCAGCCACTCCGCGGCGGAAACTAGCCGAAAACTCACTTTAAACAAAACAGCATAAAAACCAGGAGCCTCAGAGCGGGTATTTCGAGCCTGCATGAGCGAAGCGGGAAGACGCGGTCGAATCCTTCACGGAAAACACGTACCTGATAAGGTTGGTAATAGAAAATGACACTCAAGCTACCTCCTCGACAATGCCAGAGTTGAGGTAGTCGGAGCCGTCCAAGCCGCACCCGCCGTCCAAATCGGCGATTGTGGCACGGGTGCTGACCTTCGGGTGGATGACCAATTTCAGGAACGATGGGGAGAGCGGAATGTCGACGAGACGTCCATCTTGCAAAACCTTGGCCATGAAGATGCCGAGAACACGGAAGAGTTCATTTGCACGACGGCGCTGCTCGGTGTTTGGTGGCAGAGGAGCGGGGAAAAGGCCGCCAGCGCAACGGACGTAGAAGCCGGGCGGCTTCTTGCCCTCGCCGAGGTCGAGCTCTTTTTCCTAGACAAACCATTTTAATAATTTTCTATTGCATACCTCAAGCTTCAGCTGCGTCTCATCCAGGTCATCGCACCACCAGATCGCCAGAGCCTTGCGCTGCATTTCGGCCGAAATCAGGGCGTAGAATTCGAGGGTAGGGCCAAGTCCTGTGCCTTCTTCTCCATTGTACTCAATCTCCAGTACGGCCTTGTTGCTGCAGTGGAAACGGAACAAGCGAATAGCTTGTTCAAGCAGCTCGTCTCCAGCGCCGGTGACCTAAACAACTGTTTGGGTCGAGACTGGAAATCATACCTTGATACGCTCGCGCTTCAGGCGGCCAACACGATATTCGTAAGCATCTTCGCGACGTTGGCGAAGGTTAGCCGAGCTAGTCCGAGCGCCCTGGTCGAACAGGCGGTGCGGGTCGGCCATAAGAAGCTGCGACATGTTGCGCAAGCTGACTCGACCGTCGCCGCTGAGGCGCCCCAGCACCTGGGCCAACGAATCGGGCAGGATGTTGTAGGGCAGCTCATCGTCCATCAGGTCTTCCTCGTTTGCTTCGTCATCGAAAATATCTTCCTCCATATCCTCGACGTCCATCGCCGAGGTCGGGTCGGGCTCCGTGTCCTCCTCCTCATCTTCGTCTTCCATGTCATCGTCTTCAGGTTCTTCCTCATCGTTCTCTTCATCCTCCTCGCCGTCACCTTCCGTATCTTGGTCCTCCTGAGTGACATCCGAAGCAGCCTCCGTCGATTGAGCTCGCTCACGAGCCGATGCCAAATCCGGGGTGGATAAGGACAACGCCTCGACACCCTAAAAACTAGATAAGAATTCAACGAAAGACGAACCTCCGGTACAGCAGCTGAGGCCGTAGCAGCATCGGATGAACCGGTCGCCGGCTGGTTGGTGTTCAATGTCGGCTGGGAAGTACTGGGGCCATGCTGATCTTCGGGTGTTTCGCGTCCTTCGGCCGTTTCGTTGCGCTCGACAATAGTGCGATCAATCAAGATACGCGACCTAAAAGAAATGTATTATCGAGGACGCGAACGATAACTAAAGCAATTGATAAAAAGCACTTACTTTTCGAGCAGATTCTCGTGGCTGGGTGTTTGATGCTGGAGGCTTTCTGCCGAAGCGGCCTGTCCAGTGGCAGCAACAGTAACTGCGGAGCTTCCAGCGCCACGTTGACGTTCATCATTCAGGTTCGTCGTAGACATAGACTTTTGGCCTAAACAAAAAAGGTTTTATAATTCATTGCAAGCATACCAACAACAGCTGAAGTTGGAGGCGTCACGGTTGGACGAGCGACTTGGTGCGGGTGAACGGGTCGTTTGCTGATGCGGACGGAAGGGCATTGCGCTAACTTTGGGCGGCGCGCTAGCTGACGCAATTGGAACCGAATACGGTGGATTAGCCAGGTTATAAAACCCTATCGTCCATTGTATTTCCTCGTAATAAATCAGCATTATCAAGTATTTCGACACTGCTTTTGCCTTTTTTCCTACTGAATTTTCTTGATATTTCTCCTGTTTATTCATCTTACTTTATGACTTTTTCAACACTATTTTTTTCCAGGGCAACGAAGATGGCAGACGCAATCCGCGCCGGGCTCGAAAACGCTGCGCAGACGTTCGCCGCTCCGGGCATCATCAAACATTTCGACACGTCTTTCGGCCAGAAGTATGTGCTCTACGGAAACCGGTTGACGGTTATGAGGTGTATGAGGTATCATGTCAATTTTAATATTTATGGCCTGTGTTTTAGTTGTGGATGGTGACGGCCGACGCGCGTAACATCGAAGTCATCTCACGGCACCTCAAGGTACTTTTTGTTCTACATTTTTCACTGTCGAATTTAGTTGTCACAACGGCCAATGGACCTTGGGGCATTGGGATCGATGATGCAGATCACGGACAAGCATTTTGCCAGCCGTCCCATCCCCAACTTCAGCCAGCCGCCTCCCTCGTGCCTCATTCCCACCGGATCAGAGGTAACGTGTTTCCTCTCGTTGTAATATTTTTTTAGTTGCTCTCCTTCTCGAAGGTTGACCTCAGTGATGGAAGCCTATTGCCCGGCGACGAAATTTTCATCGTGTGCTACCTGCCGTCGGGCGAGATGTGGCATCACTCGGGCATTCACCTCGGCGGCGGGTGGTACTGCCACTTCGTGCCCAACCACGGTATGTCCCGGTCCCGCTTCTTACGTGTTTCATTTAGGCTACAATGCGGACGATCTCCTAAATGGCCGCACAGTCTCGGACTCGATGCGCTGCGATTCGGCCAAAGGCTTCATCAATGCTTTTCCCTCGGGTATTTCGAAAGCTGGTTTCAATACATATTTTGCAGAACACCGTCAAACTTTCCGCGTGACGCCCCCAATCCTCGTGCGGTAGGGCCTGGAAATTGTCGAACATGCGCGCCGTTTCATGGACCAGCAGGTATGTTTTAAACCAGGCGTTTTTAACGGAATTTTAGGCATTCGGCCTTTACGACTACCGGCTGCGTAATGCCCAACATTTCTCCTCGCTCTGCTCGTATGGAATCGGCTTCAGCTACGATGCAGAGAAGCTGTACGGATTCAAGAACCAAGTGGCGGGCTCGAGGGTTGCCACCGTCGTCCCGATGGTCCCACCCCATCAGAATATCCACGAGTCCAGCAAGGATGCCCTGAAGGTGAGTATCTTTACGTTAAATCCCCCGTTTTTCGTTCCTAACGCATCGATCTTTTATCAATTTATTTAAACTTTTCCAGCATCAATCAGCCTACGGCTCTCACTACGTTGGTGGTCCGATGGCGTTCAACACGGTGAATGAGCGCCAAGTCGTCTCGCAGTACGTCGCCTCCTACGACATGCCCGACTCAGAATATTTTGGAATTTGAACATGACCATTGTACATTCATCTGTGAATCCCAGTGCACTTTTGTATGATTCGATCTCTGTGCTATCTTTCTTGTGATTTGCAATTTCTCACTTTCTGCACTAAATTGAATAAAGTTTTCCATGGTGTGGCAGGAGCGTCGGCTTTGAGCGAGTACGATACATTTTTAGACACTCATGGCGCGTTCGGCTGCTTACGCGTATACGCTAATGGCGAGAGAAGCGCCGTCCGAAACCGAGCATGCATGTGTCGTGGTATAGTATTTGAATGGTAGCATCTGTGAATGGCGGAATTCTGCAAAGCGTTGCATTCGTTGGTGGTGTAAAAAGGTGGATCGAATTCATTTATGATATGGTTCTCCAGTCCGATCGATGCCGGCGCCCGATGTTGAGCATCGTCGATCGAAGCGTTCGGCGAAAGACGTCGACACGATTTCCCCCTCGCGCCGCGTCCGTTTCAACGACTCGGCACTAGAGGTGTTATAACTCAAACAAAACAAGGCCTCAAACAAGCTTGTTTGAACAATGTTGTTTGATAGGATTTTTGGAGATTCAAATCAAGCATTTTTTGTTTGGGATGACCGTTGATCGCTCAAACAAAACAAGATTGTTTGCGTTGTTTGAATAATTTGTTGTTTGTTGTTTGAGTTATAACAACTCTACTCGGCACGCGTCAAACAAATGCCCGACCTGGTGGATGAACATGATCAAATCCTCATCCAACCCATCCCCTTCCCGAGAGCCATGAGAAAAGGGACGAGCGTGTCCAGCAGGGACGTAGCTGACCCCAAGTTTCGGGGGGGAGTTTTAGTCGAGGCCATAGTCAGGGACGGTCCGTATGCAATTCGGTCACCTCAGTGTGGAACCCATAAGAATAAGAATTAGCACCTCGTCGAAATTCAGCGCAAAAGACTTTCGGTTAACCAACAAGCAGATGGTGAGTTTCTCTCTCTCTCTCTCTCTCTCGCTGTATGGTTACTGTCAAAATTAAGTTCAGTTTACCTGTCCGGTAGCGGGGGATTTTTTCATGCAAATTATATTACAGGCCCGGCCCCGGGGCCCGGCCGCCCGGAATTGCCATGGCTGGTAATTACTGAAAGAAAGAAATCTAGTCGACTGCCGAAAAAACGCGTATTTACTACAACGAAAAAAAACAAAAACAAACTACAAAACAACATAACTACAACTCCGGGGCAGCTGTGCTGCCCCTTTTGGTTTTGACTTCCCCCAGGCGGCCCAAAATGTTGGAAAAATAGCTCTAAAAGTTTCCAGAAACTATATTTCCGGGATCGAATAAGCTGTTGCCCCCCAATTGGTCATCCCCGAAGACCAAATTCCGAAAATTGTTTTTCAAGCTTTTTTTATGATGGCCTCCCCGATGGGATTCTTTGGCTCTGACTTCTTTGGCATTATCGGGGGCACCAAAATTTGTTTCGTAGGTTCCAATTGTGATTATTATAATTATGACCAGCGGAATTGTTGCAACCCGTTCTTAAGTCCTAAACGTCAAAACTGCAATTATAAAAAAAAATACAAAAAATATTGGTTTTTCGAGCAAAAATGGTCGTTTTTGACCAAAAATTCACCCGGAACACCCGACACCTCCTTCTCACCGATCGAAACCCACAACAACCCCGACAAATTGGAAGCCATTCTTTAAAGCATGGTATTGTTTGACTTGACCGTGAATAAAATTTGTGGCTCCTCGAATCTTGTGGCACTTTGGTACTGAATTTTCAGGAAAAAACTTTATACGATTAAAAAAGAAAAGTCGGGAAATTGCGTGGTACACAAGCGAGTAGGAGAAAAGAAGATCAGATGGTAATTTGCGATGGAGGGCAGCATTCTCCGGCTCCCTTTTTGAATAGTCGCAGAGCACAATTTTTCATCACCACCACCTCGGGCCAATCTGGAATCGATCATGAGAACAAGCTTAAGTTCAGTCGGAGAAAAAGAAAGCGATGAATGTGAGCAGCGGCTAAAATTGTAGAAGCCTTTCCGACAATTTCTTTACTTACCTTCCACCACACGTCGAGAATGTTCCGAATCCACCCATCGTTCATAAACATCGACGATCCCAGGAATGGCCACCAACGGCATTAGGGTATGACTAGAAAGCTTCTGGGTTAGGGTTAGAGAATGAGAGAGAGAGAGAGGGAAAGAGAGAGAAAGAGAGAGAGAGAGAGAGAGAGAGAGAGAGAGAGAGAACGCACCATCTGCTTGTTGGTTGATCCGAAAGTCTTTTGTGTTGAATTTCGATGAGACGTCCATTCTTGTTCTCGTACGCCTCCACTTTGAGATGACCGAACTGCGTACGGACGGTCACTGTCTTAACCTTGCAGTCCATGGCAATGCAGTCCTTCTGAAAAAGTTGATAAAGTCGAAGAACAACCACGTTCGCACCTTCCACCTTGCGGCAGTTGCACAGTTTCCACCATGCTCCTCCGGCAACGATGAACCGCCGAGCCATCTCAGCCATTGCCGCTTTTGATACATACTCCAATCCAAGGTAGCTGTGTATGCTCCCCGGCAAGATGAGACCGCACCAGGGTTTTGCGCGCCGGCGTCATCCAGTTTTTCGGCGAGCTCCCGCTCGTGTTCCCTTTTTAGTTCAGCGTCCTAATATATTATAAATTCAGGTGTTTTCGCATTTTCGGGGAGGGAGGGAGGGGTAGTTATCGGGCGAAAGGGAACCGGATTTTCTCTCGGAGGCCCAGAAATGCATAGTAAGGAAACGTTTATGCCTTTAGAAATAACAAACACACTTTTGAAACAGTTTCTCTTTGAATATTAACTTTGAACAATTGGATCATAAGAAAATGTCGAATGGGGCCGGGCAGCCGACCAAATTAAGTTTCTGGCAACCCACGTACCTCCTCGCTCATACTCCATAAAGTCGTTTTTGGCTCGGCATAGGCGGCTCTGATTGCTTCCAGAACCCGAACTTGATCAGCTCGTGTTTCAAAATGAAGATTTATGGACGAGCACGGGATCGGATTAGCGATGAATGGTTTCCAGTCGACCGTGCGCTGAATAGGTACTGTTCTATTTCGCGGGGGGGGGGAACTGTGCGGGGGGAAAAATTTTCTTCATTTTGTTATAACTCTTTTATATGATTCTATTTTGAGTTGTAATTCAACTCTTAGTATATTTTTTGACACTCTATCGAATGGCATTAAAGGAATTTTTGAAAAATATCGAAAATGTCGAAAACTAGCTTTCGACTTCACGATCCCATGTGGAAACACCGTATAAAACTTGTTTTTGCTATAACTTTTTTATAAAACCATATTTTTCGATGAAATTAAAACTCTTAGTATATTTTTTGATGCTCTATCGAATGGCGTTGCAAAAATCCCGAGAAAATAGCGAAAAGATGAAGTTTCCGCGAAGCATATCCCCCCCCCGCACAGTTCCCCCCCCCGCGAAATAGAACAGAACCGCTGAATATTTTTATTTTAAAACCGACAAATCTAGGCAGTCTCAGCTCATCTAGGCTAGAAAATTTTCTATCTGTGCACATGTACCAGGCCAGGGAAGGGGAAATGACTGGCCTGGTACCAAAGTAAATCTAGGCCCCCCTAGATCAATCTAACCCCCCCTTTAGATCATCTAGTACCCCCCTTTACGCTCAAAATCGGCCCATGAATCGGTCGAGGTTTACGGAAAGGTCATCGGACCAAAAAATATCGCACGCAAGTTTTCTAGGAGAGAAAAAGCTCCTCTATCTGATGACGTATTGAAAACACCGCAAGAATTTATGGCTTACGCGCAGATACTTTTGTGGGCATTTAACCATCTAGAGGGGGGATAGATTGATCTAGGGGCCCCTAGAACGGTAGAAAAGGGCCGAAAAGCCATCTAAAGGGGGGTACTAGATGATTTAGGGGGGGGTTAGATCGGCAAAAATGGGTCCAAAATGCATCTAAGGGGGGCCTAGATTATCTAGACCCCCTTTAGATCATCTAGACCCCCCTTTAGATCATCTAGGGGGCCCCCCCTTAGATTCAATCTAACCCCCCCCCCCCCCTTAGATAGGGGGGTTTAGATCGACTTTGGTACCAGCCCTGGTCTCGTACGTCTAGGTCGCTAAAAACTTTTCAACTCGAAAGTAAGGGTCGTGGAAAAAAAATATAAAACTGACGACGTAAACAAGACGATTCGACGGGTCAGGCGAGATTCGGTCGAAGAGCAGCTCCTGTGCTCTGTATTCGCCAGACTTCCCCTCGGTGTATAGCTGCAGGAAATCTTTTAAAAGCAATCAAAACTCCACGAAACTGACTCAAGCAAACACACTGACCGTATTGCCGAAAATGATCCATTTCTCGCGTTTTTCGGTCTTCGGGTCTTCAGGCAGAACCTCGACGTTGTGACGCGACAGGGGCGACCACTTCCAGACACCCTGCACAATGTCCCAGAATTTTTTGGAGTACGATGAATCGCTAAAATACGCTTTTTTGAGGCCATCACTGGATCCTCCCACGCCTCATGCTCATTAATAGCAACGACAATTTATTAGGTACTGGACGTTTAGCGGGGGGGGGGCTATGTAGCCCCCCCCCCGTCTATATGCCGGTTTTTATGAACATTTTAAACTCCGTTCCGCACCTCTGTTCAAAAGTTCAAGTCAATCAGATTTGAAATGGCCAAATGCCAGCGTGTACTTTTTATTGGGACACCCTGTATAGTATGAAATGTCCCGGTGTATTTCAGGGCCCCGCAGAGAGACCAGGGGTGAAAAGCCGCGTAGTTTTAATAAATAACCCTGGTTAGTTAATAAAACAAAACCAAACTATCGGCTGGGCATGAAGTAGAACGATAAGGTGATTATCATTTTCGGCGTTTTCAGCTTTTTCGACGGGATTTCATTAGTGCCATCGGATAAAGCGTTGAAAATTATCCTACGAGATTTGAATTCAGCCTGAAATACCACAACTTAAAATCGTACTTGATTAAGCTAAAAAGTTTAATAAATTAAAAATCGCTAAAAATGAGGTTT